TTGTCATCCTCGGTGTGTTCATTGTAACAAGTCATTGTAGTGCCTGTCGTCCTCACAATGAGAGTAGATCAGCATTTGTAAATCCTCGGAGTCGCCAACGCATGTCTGTTATGAATAAACATGTCCTTGGGGCGGAGGGAAGACTATGATCTAGTTCTTAGAATTATTTTGCTTGTGTTATATGATTATCTCAGTGCAGCTTTCCTTGTATTTACAGCTGCAAGGAGTGGTTGAAAGAGAAAATGTGTAGAGTGTAGCTGACGGCACTGAGTGAGGAAGCCTGAGCTACTAGCCCCATCCGGGCACTCTCTTCACTCTCACTCTCACTGGGGTTGTTGCCCACCCTTATGGCTCCTCACTCTAGCTTCTTAAATAATAGTTATTACACCAACTGAACAGACGACTTTAACTTTTCTTTATGAATTTAAAGGATCTGGAATTGAATATGTTGTCATTCAAGTTCAAGTATGTTTACTGAGATAAGCAATACATACATCTCAAAGAGATAGAGTAGCTTAGGCTATTTCTACCCCCCCTCTACTTCCCCCTCAAGGGGCGCACAAATTCAGTGACTAGACAAATCAAGTCCTTCAAGGGTAAGCAGCATAACAACACTTCAGTGAATACAATACCATACAAGATGTGGTCTAAGTTTTCAATAAGTGTCTAATACATAATGGGCGTGCGGCATACTACATAATTTACACTCCTTATCTTTTTCACAGACATTAACACCGTATTGCCAGATATATTTGTATCCTAATCTTAATCTCATGTAAATTGAATCCTTCCAAGTAGACTTTCCTTTACCATAAGTGAAGGACGAGTTTGTATTTATTATTGAATAATTCTTAAGTGTGTTACTACTGTCCACCATTGCCATTCTCTTTACCATTTCTTCTCCCTCTTGGATCATCTTGATTCTTGTTTCAAAGTTAACTGACATATAACATCAACAAGAGTTTTTCAGTGGCTCTCTTCGCTATGTCATCAACTACCTCATTCAACAGTATTCCCACTTGTGAAGGGATCCACATGAATCTTACTTTATACCCAGTTTTTTCTAATTTCTTAACATTCTCTCTACACTCTATCACAATATTCTGATATACTGGGCGTCTGCTATTTAAAGACTAACGCTCCTCTGCTGTCAATAAAGAAGCAAGAATTTTTACCACATTTGACTACTTCCTGTAATCCTGCTAATACTCCTTGGAGTTCAGCCTGCGTTGAAGAGACATTGTCAGTTAAACGGCGTCCAATAACAGTATCTACAGTGCCGATGTCAGTGTACTCCCTGATCAAAACTCCACATCCTGCCTTCCCATCCCTAGCTACTGACCCATCACAATATACATGTAGAGTGTTTTCTGTAGGCAGTTTTCTAATTATACAATCATATGTTGCCCTCAGCTCTCCTATTTCATACATACTCTTTTCTTTTGCAAGGGAGTAATTATTACATCTACGTTACAATCCTCCCATGGTGGTGTGAATTTTCTCTTGGGCACAACAATACACTCTGTAATAACATCATACTTTATAACATTAGTACATAAGTTATTCATATATACAGTACTCTCTTCTTCAACATACACTGTTCACTACTTCCCACCTTTTGAACCGAGAGGATTAATTCATTAGCTCCCCTACCTCTCATTAATCTAATGGCAGAGGCTACATTTATCTCTACAATTCTATCCCCAATACTCTGCAGATTCAACTCCATCCTCATTATCTCAATCATAGCATTTCTTGGGCATCCTAAGATAATTCTCATGGCTTCATTTTGTACCTTCTCCAACTTGCCCATCCTACCTTTACCAAAACAAGAAATGACAGGTGCACCATAATCAATAAGAGATCTGACAGTACTCAAGTATAACATTCGTAGCACAGGGACTCCCACTCCCTTTTGCGCCTCCACAGCATGCCTCGAAGCCCGTGCCACCTCTTGGGTGGCCTTCAGAGGTTGTAATCTCTTCCGACATTGACCCAACAGTCTGCTCATCTCAGCTTCCAAACTCTCATGGGTATATCCAACATATATGCCTAAATATTTATATATATTAACTCTCTCTATATTTTTACCGTTTATTTTCAATATAATGGGCCCCCGACTTCTACATTCAAACTTAGTTTTGTTTTCATTAACCACCAGTCCCATATGGTGACACAGGTTTCCGAAATTGTCCAACACCTTTGAAATATCCTTGCCCTGAAACAAAATATCATCGGCATATATGATCGGAGTTACCCCATTTGAGTATCTCTCAGATGCTATCTTATTCATTAGTACATTAAACAGGGTGGGACTCAACACTCCTCCCTGAGGTGTACCGAGTTCAAAAGACCTTACACCTGACATACAACCTTGATACCACACCTGAGCCTTCCTTTCGTAAAGATAATCCCCTATCCAGCGCAATAATCTCCCTTTAACACCAAGACCAGCTAATTCATATAAAATAACCTCTTTGTTGGCTTTATCAAAAGCTCCTTGTAAATCAATAAAAATTCTATAATAATCATTTTCATTAGCTAGACATTTAATAATACAATCAGAGGTACTTTTTCCTTTGAGGAACCCAAACAAATTACTAGACAGCTGATCACCTATTATATATAAAAGTCTATTTAAAATGATCCTCTCCATCATTTTACAAAAACACAAGGTTAAAGACACAGGTCTGTACTCTTCATTGGCTTTAGGGATAGGGATGATCATAGCTTTTTTCCATTTACTGGGAATACTGCCCTCTTTATAACTAATATTAAAGAGGTCTAAAAGTGGGCTTTTCGTCATAATGGCAAGTTCATTAAGTATTTCATAAGTTACTCCATCCTCCCCAGGGGCGGTAGATTTCCCAACTTTAATCGCCGTTATTAGTTCTTCTCTGGTAATACCTGTGCAAGTGACATCACCACTGTTACCTGCTGTAAGAATAAAATCCTTTCTTAGATCTTTCCAATAATCTAATGACTCTCGTTACAGCAGGTAATGAACTAAGTTTGGCAGCTTCCGCCCATAGTGTTTACACTTAGTGGGGTTCACCTCATTCTACTATTCACCTAACATTAATCGTAGGTAGCGTCGAAGGACAGGATGAGGTGATTGTTGCCTGACTCCAGCTTTAGGTGTCTGCCAGGTCTGCCATTTTCCCTCATGATCAGTGGAGGACCATTGAACAGCTGCATGCTCGAAGTCAAATGCATCCGGATTTTGATTACTGGTGTTAGCTCCCGAATGAACACAGCCTCGTGTGTTGAGGTTGTATCTAGTCCTCTGTTTATATCTTTGTATTTTGCTTGTCTTCCTGCCTCTCTCATTTTGCTTTGACCTACCTGGTCTCTCTCTGTGTCTGTCTCTGTGTGTCTGTCTTTGTATCTGACTGTCTTTCTCATTCTGTCTTTTTGCTGACTATCTCTGTCTCTCTTTCTCTCACTCTCTCTTACTAATAAAAATAATATAATAGTCTTTCATTGGTGTGTGGATGGTCCACTGGCGGGTAGAGCGTAGTGGTGTGAATTATTAATATATAATAGATACCTGTTTGTTTTGAGATAGAGGCAGAGGCTTAAGAAAGTCTGTGAGAGGATCATCTGTTTTATGCTACTGTGAGCAAAATATGATGATTAGAAAATTTCCAACCTTGAAGTGACATATATTTGCATTTCTGGGCAATAAAAATAATTCCAGAACTAAGTCAACTCTCATACCAGGTCAAGTTGAGGGCCACAGAGCCCTCAACACTGAAAACCAGACATGACTAGGCTGATCTCAAAGAAGCGTTCAAAATACTGAACAATTTAGAGGATGTTGATCCATATAACTTCTTCAAAAGGTCAAATGTAACGTAGACAAAGAGTAACGGTTTCAAGCCCAACAAGGATTGAAAACAGAGGCCTTTTCACCCACAGGGTAATAAACCCTTGGTACCGGCTACCTGCCGAAGCCGAAAATGCCAAAACTCTGCTAAACTTTAAAATCCAGGTTGAACAAATTCAAGACAAATGGTGGACCTTTGACAAGTCGCTTGCTTCCTGCCCTCATCGAGGCCACTAGAGTGCTAGTGGCCCTCAGGTAAATTCAGGCAAATTAATGCGTGTTTAATAAATCTATGGATTGGGTCCGCCATCGTTCATTTTTTGTGCAAGGGTGAAGGGGAAGATCCATTATTGATTCCAGTCACCTGGACTTAATTTGATCCATTATTGAGTGTTTTACCATCTCTTAGTAGGACCAATAGTACCAACCCCGTCCTATGTTCGTTCCTCAGACCATTTACCCACCAAAGTTGGGTGAGGGTACCTACCCCCAGGCATTTGGCCTACATTTATATTGTAGCTGCGACAATACTGGGGGTAGCCAATATTCACATTTTAGACAAAATTTATAATTGTAATCAGAAATACTTCATATTTAGAGTGCTGTCTAGACAGCGAAAATTTGTCTGGGAAGACCGTCAGAGGTGACTGAGAGACGGGACATGTGCAATATGTGATTGCTTCTCCAGCCTGTCGAATTCTTTGCATTCCTGTTTCTCATCTTCTCATCTTCATTCTGGTTAATCGATGACCTTCCAGGTGATCTGAATATTTTATCGAAACTGTATTAAGTACTAGTAGGCCTATGTATTTAACTTAATTATGTATAATTATACATAAATATATATATATTTGCTGAAGTCAACGCCCTACTCTTATTAAGAGTTTGCATAATTATATCATCTCGAATATTTGTCTTACAATTTGTGCCTTATGCCCTATTGTGATAAAGAAGAGTGATGCGATTACAGTTTGCCCTCATATAATGCGAGGATAAATGTGTAACGCATCAGATATTACTCTTCCGGTCCTCTGATAGCCTTTACACACACCCAGCTGATTGTGTATAGGTTTTAGCCATTGGTGGAGCACCGCCAGCTAGACCAATCATGAGCTCTCTTGTATGACTTTTGACGCCCAGTGCGTTTCATAAGGCGAACTGTGATTGGTGTGAGGGACAAGATTTAACCAATGACGGGCGCGGTTCCTCATCCTGTTATGGTTGAGGTAAGATGCTGTGATGGTGTTCTGTACGGAATGATCAGGGTTACTTCCTCTATTACTGGTATGTAAAATCCACTTGCCGTGGTGATTGTCCCTGTCCTAACCCTTTGAAGTGCTGCTCTGTCTACCTGACGGGCTCCTCCGCCCGCCAGGACGGTATTTGTTGTCCAGGAACCACAAAGATTAAAGCACCGGAGCATGTTTATATTGTTCATTGTTCATAATTGACCAATATATTTCATTGTTGTGACATGTGGTTGCTGTAGGACATGGAGTAGGTGTGTGGTGGGTGTGTTGCATGAAGTATATGTAGAAGGGTGGGGCTGAAGGGTGAGGGGGGCGCCAGGAGGGTGAGAGAGAGGGAGTGTTGCATGTGCGCTCACTGCACCCTTGTGGACCGTGGCTACACATTACTCGTAAGATATTTGGTCGAGGGACTCTTTCATGGGGCGGAGAGTGAACAGGTGAAGTAGAGGCACACCCTGCTTGATACGGCACACACTGGTTTATGTCAGGGTACGTCAGTATAGGTGCTAGGGTGTATTGATCTGTACATACACAGCAGACAACAGGAAACTGTACCACAAGTGTGCTTGAAGTGGGTGTTTCACACCTCTTTATTTTGTAAACACGCCAAAACCTCGTGCTCTCTTATGACCAACATTCTACTACAGGTTTGGCCGATTTTATTAATTGAAAACATATTATCCTCATTATTCATTGTGTTGTCAAAATGTTTTTACAAACTTTGCTTCAGGACCTTGGTGGTGTTGCTGGGTAAGGAGTCATCAAACTCATAAGCTTCAAGTGGTAAAGCTATTTTGAGTAACGAGTATTTCTTCAAGTCGAACCTAATTAAATGACCATTCCTTTGACATTCGGGAACTAATATGTACATTGCTTCTTAATAAATAAAACAAAATTAACTGATTGGTATAAGGAAGGGGGTGAAGATTGTAGAATAAGAATAAGCTACTTATGATAAAAGTATAAGATGCCTGCCTTGACGCCCAAACCCGTCTATTTTTTTATTTTCTTGGACAGTTTAGCAACAGGACACATTGTATATCCTTGGGCCACACCTGAAGGACTTGCAGCTTGTTTGTTCATGGACCCTCTTTTTGACTTTGGGTGTAAACCCCCCTTTTTTAGACTCCTGAGTCCTTCTGGCCCACTTGTTGCTGTGGCCTTGCGGCTTTAGTTTCTTTACCTTGCGGCATATTTCATGTGTAGCCTTCCGGCTATTTTCCCCGTGCTGTGCCTTGCGGTGTTTGTGGGGAAATTCAAGTATACCTCGGATATATGCAGCATTTGACCAGTCCCCATTCCACCAACAATAGTTGACTAACACCCAGGTTCCCAATCACTGCTAGGTAGGTGAACATGGGCAATGGGTGTAAGGAGACTTGCCCATACGTCTCACCCTGCCTTGAATATACTTGTGTTTAATCCCCCGGGTCAGATAATTACAGTTTGGCAAGTTTCCGTTCACCTGATGCATCTGTTCACCTAGCAGAAAACTAGGAACTGGGAGTTGGGGAATTGTCGTCGGTTGCATCCTAGGAAAGGTTGTAGTTAGCCTATAGGGCCCTCGATAAGACTAAGTACAGGCTTCCTGTCCTCGACAACAGGGGACAATGAATTATTTTGGATTCCCTTGTTTGGAGAAATTGATGGTAAAGAGATCGGCTAAGTTAATTGGTTTCTAGCAATTTATTGCTGTAGACAAAAAATAAATACTATATTGTCATAAGTAATGATAAACCTACGTAATTTGCTCTGGCTGAATAATGTGTTTGGTTTTTAAAGTTTTTTGTCCCATTAAAATAGCACCCGACATTATTCTTGCAAGCCCAAGAGAATATTAACCAGGTGTAATACTTGGCTAATTATGCATTACTGAAATGGTAATCCTAAGGCTAAATACTTTGACCCATGCTGTGTTATTTAGATACAGAATTTTGTTTTGTTTTAAGGTAGAGAATATCACTGGCTAGTTAACCATTTACACTTCACTAAACCTAATAAATATGTACCTAACTGATAGTTTGTGAGCCCAGAAAATGTAATTTTGTGTATGGTATGGTATGGTAGCCCTATCGAGTTTTTACAGTACGAGATGTTCTTTTAGGAATCGTCTGATTGTATGGAAATGAAGAGGGTAAAGTGTAGGCAATACAGTTACAAGACGAGAACTATGCTCGTGGTGTCCCCTCTTCCCGGTACTCGTCCTGTGACTCGTTGAAACTACTGACGATTTTGGCTTACACTACCATTCCATTTGTTACACTTGTCTGCCACTCTGCATAAGAGAACTATTTTTATTTATTCATTTATTTATTTAAAAATTTTCACTATCATATCCTTACCTTGAATTTATGACCTCTTTTTTTGAAGTGGCAGGCTTCAAAATTCCTTGTCACTTATGTTGATCCCAGTTACTACTTTGTATGTAAAGATCATATTGCCTCTTCTTTTTTCTTCTAACTTCTTGCTTTCTCATATTTAACACTCCTAGCCTCTCCTTGTAGTTCTTCCTTTTCAGTTCTGGAAGCCACTTAGTAGCATGTCTTTGCATTTTTTGCAGTCTATTGATGTGCTTCTTAGAATAAATGGTGGTATAGTCTTGTGCTGTACCATGAACGTAGCAGCTGGGTAGTGCCATTACTGTATAAAAAACATAGCATCCCCCGTATAAATTTTAAATGCTTACTTGTAGTCCTTCTGTTTTCATTCGTGTCTCTTTAGTGTTGTGAAATTCTGAACTATAATATATACAGTACTGTAGTATATAATTAATATTTTATAAAGTTATAATTTAAGAGAGGGTCATTCCATGCTCTCTATTTTTATATTTGGTTAATTAGTAGAAATTTGAAAAACTAAAATCCTAAAGTTTTGAAGTTGGGATCATGGGGTGTCAATGTTATAATTTTGCAAAGTTGTGATTTTTATTTATAAAAAAAACGGCTATAACTATTAAGGGTAATAATGGTTTTGTTCACATTTGAATTTTTATGAATAACCCATTACACAAACCCATGTTCCATGCTTTTAAGTTACTCTGAATATGAATAGCTCTTGGTTAACAGAATACAAAGTACCGTACAGTACTTAGAACTTTTATAATAATAATTTTATAGGGGGCATCAGGAATAGTAAACGTGCCCAACCATTTGTCCCATATGAGATTCAAACTCGGGAATTCCTGACAGTCTAGGATGACGCCAACTGTGTGGCATGTGAAAACTACATAAGTTACATGGTACTGTAGTACAAATTAAGAACTTTCAACTGTATGTAACCTTGAATGCAAAAAAATTACTGTGCAGTATCTTTAAAAATAATTTAAATAATTTATACAGTATTTGGCCAATTGATAGTAACTTTCCTAGGGCGAGTCTATAGTTTAATTATCAGTCCCCCCCCCCCCCCTCCTTTTCATTCTTGTCCATTCCACAAATATCTCCCCTCACCCTATCCAACTTAACTCCTACACATACCTGCTCTCCTTTCCAGCTTTGCCACCCTCTCAATACTCTCCCTCAGTCCTTTTCCATCTTGGCCCACACATTCCTCTTTACCCCCACACTTTAGCATCCACAAACTATACCGCTAACTACATCTCTACTTCAACCCTACCCATCCATCATTCTCGCTGTCAAATATAATATGACTAATCTTGCCCTTTCTTAAAACTCGACTATATGCCACCCCAAAAAATACCAAACATATCTTTGTATACCTGCCACCTTACCATTTTCAGATACCCAGACACCCACCTGCATCCCCGACCTACAACCATACCACAAAAGACCATCACCCATCCCCAACATTACTGCTATCCCACACCACCACCCCGCACCTTCTAGATAAAGTAGTCATAGAAGTATGTAGTCGTTCTTTTTTCTCTTCCCCTCTCCTACTGCCCTTCATCCCTTTCTCGAAACTATAAAATGTTCTTGCATTATTGTATAGCCCATGCATTCAGGACTTGACTACAGTATGTGCTGTATTTGTGGCTGGAAAGTGGAGAGAGCATTAAATAGTAATAATTTGAATTGTAGTACATGGGTGTTTTACTTAGTAAAGAATGATACTTTGTCTCTGAAATGTAGCCCTGTTTTTCCCCCATAGTCATTTTAAATTTTATTTGTATAGGATTTTTTTATACATTTTTTTAAAGAAATGTAAACTGTACAAGGCTACTTATACAACACTGCAATTTATTACAGTAAAATAGACTATAAGCAGAAATACACACTTCCTAAAGTGAAGAGGCAAACATTGCTTTAAGTGATGTAAATAACATAGTGAGGTATGCAGGCACATCTAGAGAACTTTAATTTGTATTGTGCAGTTTATCTCGGAAGTTATCATTTTGTCATTTACCTACTTGGGGAAAATTGACTGCTATTGTTGGTTACTTCTTTACTAGGCAACAATATTTCAACATGGGCCTTTAAATACAATACAGTAATTGTGTAACCATTCTGACCAGTAATCACATGTCATTTGTCTTTAAACAAAAAATCCACTTTTTGAATTTGCTGCGAGACAAGTTTCCATTTTGTAACACTTGTGTCACTACAGTTGTAGTGAACAAGTCTCTTATGAGAAGCCTTTTATAAGAGCAAAGACACAGTTTCAATTTAATGCTAATGGTCACGACGACATCAGCTCGGGAGTAAACAATGGCGGACTGGAAGACTGGCCCTCGCACAGTACTGGAGAACATTGCTGCAGCACCAGGAAATAACCAACTGTTCCAGATTTCAGGTAATTTTGTGGCTTTAAAATCATTCTGGATTTTTGAGTTACTGGGTTTTGGAAGTCCCGATTTTCTGTGCTCAACTGTAGTGTCAGTTGTATGAAGGTTACTGTCCTTATCCTTCAATATGAAGGTTACTGTCCTTATCCTTCAATATGAAGGTTACTGTCCTTATCCTTCAATATGAAGGTTACTGTCCTTATCCTTAAATCAGTACAGTAATAGTATTGAGTTTGATACTATACAGTAGCTCACTTTGGTGAAATATATTGGCCCACAGTAGAGACAAGAGTTGCACTAGAAGTTTCAAAACTTAACCCAAGGCATAAAGTAAAAATACCACACTTGCTCATAAAACTTTTACATGCATCAAATGTTCTAACATCTAGATGTTACATGGTTTTCATACTCCAGCTCTTTATAAAAGTTAATTGGGAAAAGGGATAAGAGACTTGTTTGGATTCTTAAGGAATAATTGCAAAGTAACTACCTGAATATATATATTTTTTAAAGTGGTTAAATTTGCAATTTGATCTAAAAGATCTTTACACTTAAAACCCTCAAGATTACAATATTATTTATATTTTATATTTACAAATTATCTTGTGGCAATGCATATTCCTGTTAATGGAAGATCAGTGGAAGTGTGTGCTCATCTTGGGTAAAGTTTTCAGGTTTTCAACCTCCTGAGTACATTGCACTGTAGTATAAATGTTAATGAATAAACACACTTTAGCACAATGTTTGACATTTGTTTAACTTCGGCTCTACTTATAAGTACATCGCAGTATTATATAAAAATGTACAGTACATGAAAGCTGTGGATATTCAAAATACTGTACCATCAGTCTTGGAGCAGACAGATATACAGTACCCTGCTCTATTCATAAAATTACGGTGTTTAATTTGGGGTGTCAGATGTATGCTTCTGTTAGAGAGGTGCTATTGTGAATTCTAGGTTCTGTCCAGAACTAGAGTACAGCATATATTTTGATACTAGAGCACTTAAATTCTTGCCAACAAATGGCTTGTATGCTAGAAGTGGCAAACTTCCTAAAGCTACTGTTACAGAAGAAAATCCCTTCCTTGAACTATAAATTAAGATGTGAGGCTACTTGGATCCTCAACGTACGAATCTTTGATTGCACCTAGGGAATTGGGATCCTTAAAAATATTCTTTAATATGTTTGTGGTTTTTTGGAGAAAGAGCCAAGCGGCAGATTCACTCGGTGCACAGTTGCAATATGGCTAGTTCAATTATCATATTTATATATTAAAGATAGAACTTTAAAGGATATCCATACAAGAAAAGTTGTGCTCGCCTTTGAAACTACTTTTTGGATGATGCTGAATGTTCAACTGACATTCAAATGTGTACTTATCGAACAAAATCCCTTGAGCATTGGATGGATTGAGTCATTAGGATCGTCTTGCAAAATAATCTACATGCATCCCCCATTTGACATAAAGCTTATTTTTCTGTAAATGGGAGTGCTAAATGAATAGTTTTTTCATAACATAGTTCCAGTGGAAGTATATTCTTGGAAAACTGTGTTAGGGGTTTACTGGGTTACTTTAACATTGATACATAACAACATTGACAAGCATTTTATAAACTGTTCTGTATTATCTGCATATTGAGCATTTGTACTTGATAGCATTGTTAGAGATGAAGTTAGGTACTGCTAGGAAGAGCCAGGTTGTGACAAATCCTCCTTGAAGAGGGCATAACAAATTGTCTTGCCCAGAGCAGCTCTTTATAGCAGGAGATAGTCGACATCAATTCTCTTCACTACAAGTCTTCCACTAAAATCTGCATCTTTTTCATTGAAAAGCTGCAGTGTAGCAATTATGTTATTGATGCCCTATATTTTAACTCCTGTGATGAGGTTTCTTTCTGGTACATATTCATGAGCAGTTATCAGTTGAATACTGTACTGCTGTTCCTGACCTGCTAATTTATTTACTTTTTATTTTTGCTGGTGAGACTGAAGTAGTTAATGCACATAGTGTCAATCTCTCTTATTCCTGTCTGGTTGGCAAGCTGAACAATGTCATTGGCAACTGCCACTATTGAATTCATGAAGTGTTGATATGCCCTGGGGTATAGTTTCTTTCAGGTACTGTTTGTAACACAGGTTGTTGCTTTCTCCCAAGTTGCATTGACATTTTTAATATCCTCTGTTATGTCATAGGACCTCGTATGATTCTATCTGTCTCTCTGGCTGTGTCTGTCTGTCAGTTTAGTTTTTAAGTGATATTCCTTTGTATACCTTGAACCTCTGGTTGGTCCACTGGAATCCATTTCAGTACTATGTAGTGTTAATTAGGCAGTGGATTAGCATTTTACTAATTCGTTGGTTTCAGTGATGTGTCCAATTTATTTTTCAACAGAAATATAAATAAGTCCTACAGGATTTGAACCAAGGCCACCAGGGTAACAGTCAAGTACTAGACCTACATTTGACCATCGATAGCTTAAGTGTTGGAAAGTTGTGAGACCTATATGTATCAAATATCCTACTACACTAGTGGAGAATAGGCACTATTATTCCAAGAGTTCCTTGAACATGCTAAGATCACACTGAGTATTAATTAAAAGTTGTGTAAAACTTGAATGGTCCCCAGTCATCAGTTTTTTAGCAAACCTTCAAATGAGTCCTTCAGGGTCGAAACTTGGTGTGATCCTTACATGTTCGAGGAATTGATGAAGTAACGATGCCCATTCTCCATGAATGTATTGGTGTTGGATGCATATAGGTCTCATGACTTTCAAACACTTGTGATGCTATTGTTTGTTGAGTTGGTAGTCTGTAGTGCTGGGCTGCTCCTATTGTGGCCCATGTTCAAATATTTGAGGGATCATTTGGAGTTTTTAAAACACTTATGCCTGGAGACCATTCAGACTTTACATATCCAATCTATTGTGTAACTTCTACATTGTTAAATCTCAGCACTAGGGGTATTGTCAAGTAATGACAAAGCACTGGGCTACTGGTCATTATCTTCATAACTGCACTGTTGGAGAGACTGGGGATGAGCCACTACAGAAATGTGCATCTTGTTGCCAGGCTTTTTTGTTATGCTTCAAGACAGCCAAATAATTACTATCAGTGCTGGATAATCATGGGATCTGAGCATTCCTGCCCAATAAAAGGCAGTCCATGGTAGCATGGACTGCCTTTTGTTGGGCAAAAGTATGCATGATGCATAATTCTCTTCTTGGGAGATTAAAAGAGTAATAAAATGTGCTTTCAATAAAGGCTGTTTGTATCTACATAAAAGGCAAGTAGGGTTAGGGTTTGATGAATGCTTTGAGTGAGTCGTAGAACTTAAATGAACCTTGGTGATCAGTACTTGCTTCTTTATCACTCGCTTTTATACTGTGCAAGTACAGTAATGTGACGTTAAACCTGTTGAACAAGCAGTGCTTGTCACCAGGGGTTTCTTATTGGGCTTTCACTTTTGCAGAGCGTTTAAAATGCTTTTCTCTTGTCCATGATGATGAATTGGCTCAAGCCAATTTTGATATACGGTTCACCCATGTTTCCTCCACTCTCCCCATCTTCAACAAATTATTCCTTGAATATGTCAGACCTCTTGCAATTGGTACAGTTGTGGACTTTACTATTGTTTTTCATCTAAATTATATTCTGTAAAATTGTGATGGTTGTGTCAAGGTTGGCCTCAGGTCGAGCTTTGTGAGTAGAAGAAACTCAAAACTCCATCAAGCAGGTATCAAGTGGATGTTGGGCATAGAACATGATCACACATCATGAATTATTACACCTACTCCTCCCCCCTTTTTTTTCTTGATCAGCTTCAGCGTGGCAAATGCTACTGTTAGACAATCAAGTAAAAATAATGGCAAGCACTTTTTATGTCCAGTTTGTGTTACCAGATTTTAGCACAGATCATTGGATAATTTAAAGTCTACTGCATTTAGATTATTAATATTATGTACATAAGCACTTTAATTTTTATTATTATTAAGATTTATGAAGAGAATAGGAAAAATGCCAAGTATTCTCCTTGTCATAGTGTTGGTCATGCTCACAAAAGTCGTGCTCTGAAACTAATTTTACCATGACGTGTAATATTCATGTGCTCTACCTGTGTACCATACCGTAATTGGCTGTCGGGTTCCCTGCACAGTTCAGTACTTAGTCATGTTAACCTTTTTGGTAACATGTTGGTCCATTGGTGGATCATACTCGTATTACATTACAGACTACAAAAATGACAATCCTTAATATTGTATATTAAGAGGATTGTAGGATGTTGAATGGAGACCTTAACTAACTTTTAGAGCAGACAAATGGCTGCATGTAAGAAAGATAGTAGACCTGCAGGTAAACTACATCATTAGGGGAAGGCAATTACAGGAAGCAATGCAAGAGAAAGATGTGGGAGTAGATATTATCCCAACACTAACACCAGAAGCTCATGTTAACAAGGTAACCTCAGCATTGGTGGAAGGTGGACATGCAAATGAGTCAGAGATGTAAGGAAGTTCTCGTTCCCTGTATGGATGGTTGGTAAGTGGAATGCATTGCAGGAAGTCCATCTACAACTTTTAAGAAAAAAGATAAAATTGTAATGTGAGGTAATTTGTGTGTTGGGTATAATTGGCTAGGTGGCTAGTTTAGTGTGCTAGATAATGCGCTACATTTCACTCCCCCTGTAATCACCAATAGGTAAGCACACAAACGGCTAAATTACAAGGCCGTTGTGTACCTTCATGTTTTTTCAATTCGTTGGTCATGCTGTCTCATTGACTTTTGAAGTGGATAGTCATTTATGTTTCTTTGTTGCAATTTTTTTACCAGATGTTATGTATGTACTGTATTTAAAAATACGGAGTCTCGGGATAGTATCGTATTGTATAACAACAATTTGGCATGTAATCTTTATTATTAAAAAATGTGTAAACAAATGTTTATTCAGGGGTATAATTTACATTGAATAATATTTTTTCCTCCTAAGCAGAAATGGCCGCAACAGGTGACTCGACGACAAGTGCAACGACTCCTCGCCAGCTGCAACATATTAATAACTTAACACCTATGCATATGGTAGAACTGGATCAGAAACCACCAAAAATGCAAACAGATTTAGCCCCTTCAAGAATAAAAGACGTACACACGAGTGATCTCCCGCAAGAAATCAAAGAAGAAGTTGTCAAGGTGAGACACTTTAGGGCATCTTCCTGTAAATAGTGACATGTCAACTTTATTTTATTTTCATTTTAGATAACCTCCACACTTTTCTAAATGATTAAATTGTAGATTTAATTAACTTTTTGTGAGGGCCTTCTTATGTTGTGATGGTTCTAGAGATTATCATTAACCAGTTTTAACTTTTAACTAAACCTCCCAATGATGGCCCGAGTGGTTCAGCTGTTAAAAAATATAGACCTCTGGCAGCATAAATACTCTCAATGGCTTCATTGTAATCCAGTAGTTGGGATAAGGTATCCAGTCACTCCCTGGTGTCCTGTCACATGGGCATAAATAAATATAAATAAATTAAATTAAATATAATTAATTAAATATAAATAAAATAAATTAAATTTAATTTATTTAATTTATTTATTTATTTAATTTATTTAATTTATTTATTTAAATTTAAATAAAATAAATTTTTATTAAATTTATTTTATTTAATTTTTTATTATTTTATTTAATTTTTTATTATTTTATTTAATTTTTTATTTATTTTATTTATTAATTTTATTTAATTTATTTAATTAATTTTATTTAATCAATTTTATTTAATTAATTTTATATAATTAAATTTTATATAATTAATTTATATAATTAAATTTTATATAATTAAATTTTATATAATTAAATTTTATATAATTAAATTTTATATAATTAAATTTTATATAATTAAATTTTATATAATTAAATTTTATAATTAAATTTTAAATTAATTTTATTTAATTAATTTTATTTCATTAATTTTATTTCATTAAATTTTATTTCATTAAATTTTATTTAATTAAATTTTATTTAATTAAATTTTATTTAATTTTTTATTTAATTAAATGCTATTTAATTAAATGTTATTTAATTAAATGTTATTTAATTAAATGTTATTTAATTAAATGCTATTTAATTAAATGTTATTTAATTAAATGTTATTTAATTAAATGTTATTTAATTAAATGTTATTTAATTAAATTTATTTAATTAAATGTTATTTAATTAAATTTTATTTATTAAATTTTATTTAATTAAATTAATAAAATAAAATAAATTTATAAATAAATACTCCCAGAGACGGTTCGTAACCCGAAAATTTGTAAACCGAAGCAAATTTTCCCATAAGAAATAATGTATGTTGAATTAATCTGTTGCATACTCCCAAAAATATTAACTTCAAAGTAAATTTTATATCTAATTCAGCCAAATCTCTAATGCCTAATGCTAAAGTATGTACACGTTATTGCTTACCTTTATTGACAACTCTCGTTGGCATATGGAAGACGGTGAGGGGGGGGGGGTGAGGAGAGGTGTTAGTGTTTTGGAAAGGGAGTCCCCTTCCATTATAACATTGGGCAGTGATGACTTCTCTGGGGTACTCTCTCCTACATTTTGCAGGAGTACCACTTGGATCTGGTTGTGGCTCACCACTTCCTTCTGTTACTAAGAATCTGTCTAGACACTTATTTTTCCCTACATTTAACACTTGTCTATAGTGAGACATCACATTGTCATTTAAAAGGTCAATGCATTATCCTGCTACAGCTATATTTGGGTGAGTTTTTTCAACAACTTTGCTTTTTTTTTTTCAACAAAGATAAATAACTCTACATATGTCCAGTGGGGATGCATGTTGCGTTCAAAATTAAAATACAGTGGTGCCTCCATTTATGAACGCCCAATTACGAACTTTTCGGGTTACGAGCCAGATTTGTTCAGAAAATTTGAATTGGGATATGAGTTTGATACGCGTACAGCCAACCTAGCGCATGATGGCACAGCGATAGCGCCTCAGTTTACCAGTGCCTCGTGCTCAGGGACTATCCCGCCTGAATTCTTCCCAAGGATTTGGTTTCTTTTCGGATTTTTGACCATTTGACCATAAGTTATTGTATATCTCGCCATGGGTCCCAAGAAAGCCAGTGGTCAGGTTCAAGGCAAGAAATCACATGTGAGAGTGACCATAGAGGCCAAAATAAAAGATCATTCGTAAGCATGAAAATGGTACTAGTGTTGTTGAACTAGCTAGGCAGTACTGTACAACAAATCTGTGAAAGACATGCACTGTACTTGCCAAAAAAAGGACATTTTGAGTGCTAAAGTGACAAAGTGGTGCAAGATGTGGGAAGAAATGCAAACTTTTATTGGAACGACTCGCCCAGAGAAAGCTGTAGTAGGCTGTTGCATTAATCTTTTCAATGACAATGTGATGCCTCGCTACAGACAAGCGTTGCAAAGAAGGGAAAAACAATCTTCAATGGAACGTCTCCTTGTGAGAAAATAAAACAGTGAGCCACAACCAGGACCTAGTGGTATGCAGGCAAAACGTGCCAGAGTGTGCACTCCAGAGAAATCTTCACTGCCTGATGTTATAATGGAAGGGAACTCCCCTTCCAAACGGTAACACCTCTTCTCCTCCCCTCCTCACCATCTTCTATATGCCAACAGGAGTCATCAGCTAGGGTAAGTAATAACTTTACATTTGTAGTGAAGATTTGGGGTGAATTAGGCATAAAATTTACTTTGAAGTGAAGTTTGAATTTCCCATTATTTCTTATGGGAGATATTCGCTTCGGTTTACAAATTTTCGGGTTACGAACCGTCTCCAGAAACGGATTAAATTTTTAAACTGAGGTACCCCTGTATTTGTTATAATTCCATTTATTCTTCTTAGAGCTTCTGGTGTTAGTGTTGGGATAATATCTACTCCCACTCCCATTGCTTCCTGTAATTGCATTCCCCTAATGATGTAGTTTACCTGCAGGTCTACTATCTTCCTTACACTGAATTCCAGCAGCCATTTTCCTGCTCATTTAAAGTTAGTCAAGGTCTCCATTTGGCATCCTACAGCCCTTTTAATATACAATATTAAGGATTGTCATTTTTGTACAGTCTGTGATGTAATACTCATCTTGAGTATGATTCAGCAATGGGACCAACATATTGATCAAAAAGGTTAACATAAGTACTGAAATGTGCAGGGAACAAATATATGGAACGAACAAGGGGTGTGGAATGGAGGAGGATTATACAGAAACGTGTGCATGTTACTAAATTCAAAGCTAATGATCAGTGGGTGCTGAACCCAATGGTCTGAGTGGGCAGCAACCTGCCCACTGACCATTGGGTTCATCCATGGCAAAAACAGTTAGGGGAGGACCTCCCATTATTCTCTCCACACTACCCCTACTGGCAGGCACCCTTCACGTCTCCCCTCCCCCCAACTAACAGGCACCCCTTCAACCCTCTCTCCCCCCCCCCCCTCCCTCCCTCCTCACTACCACCACCACTTCTCTCCTCTTTTCTTGACCGTATAACATGTATGTTCAGAGGGGAAGTAGTGGCTTTTAAGGATAATCATAATATTTTTTTTTTTTAGTTTTGTGAGATATGCCTGTCATAGGGACTAGAGATACTGTCATAAACTGGTTGCTCTTGTAATTCAGTACTTGATGTACTGTGTTTTTTTTTCTGGCAAAGAGTGATTTTTAAGAATATTTTTTATAATAATTGCTAAAGGGGAGTTGACAATGAGGATAATGGGTTTTATTTAATCTTGACAGGTTGAGGAAGACATTTCAGATGAAGTTACAGATGTTGATCCTGTTATAGACATTATGATTAATAATGTTGTAAGTTCCTTCTCCGTTAGTTGCCACCTTGATCTAAGGAATATTGCCAGAACAGGAAATAATGTGGAATTTCGACGGGAAAATGGAGTAAGTAATAAAATTGCTAAAAGTTTGACTTTTGTGTATGGCATTTTTCAATTACTTTTATTGTAAAGTTTGTGTACCACTATAGTGACAGCATTGTCTGGTCAATAATTAATCATGTATACTTTGAAATGTACAATACTTCACAATGACTAGAAGAGACCTATTTTAGTTATTTTCTACAAGTGTCTTAGGCAAAAAACTGACAGCAAAAATCTCTAACTATTCAGATGGTCACAATGAAAATTCGGAGGCCGCCCACCACTGCATCTATATGGTCATCAGGGAAGATTACGTGTACAGGTAAGGCCAGAAGCTACGGGAAAATTTGTTTACTTCATTTGTATAATTGCTAGATTTCCATGTTGTAGGTAGGTACAGTGCTGTTCAGTTTACTTTCGTAGCCTCGTCTTTCTATTTAACAGTACTTCAGTAATGCTGAATTTTCATGGCAAACCTAATATGAAACTATCAGGCTGAAGAGTACATAGTGGAGTCCTTCAGTTCTATGTCTTGGGACTAATGCTCTTTCTAATTAATGTTTACTGCTTGAGAGGGGTATATTGTACGTGTTAATTTTTGCAAATTCAAGGCTAATGAGGACTGTAGTTCTGCAGGGAGACTGTGACTAACTTCAAAAATGGTCACATGAATGGCCATTGAGGGAATTAACCCTTACACTGCTCAGGGGCCCTTGGGACATTTACACCCCTGTGCGCAAGAAAAAAAAAATTCAAAAATTTTTTTTCGTCTTCTAAACATGTTAATTTGTGTCCCCTGAGCACGGAAAAAAAAAAAAAAATCGTAGGTGACATATTTTGGGCGCAATTGACCGAGGAAGTCTGGCAAAAAGTGGGCGTTGACAGAGCGGTCGTCAGACCTGGTCAGCGTCACCCGCGTTGACAGATGGGAGTTGCCACAAAGATATTATTACCTAATTGTTTCAATGTCTCTGATTGATTTTTTCTTAGTTTTTTTGCAGTAATATTATTCAATAGTGTGTATTGTAATATATTTATATAATAAAAGTGGTTAATAATCGCTATACTCAAAAGTATGATGTGCATATTAGTGATTCAATTATTATGTTTATAAAACAATAAACAAATAGTTTTGCTGCTATTACACTCTATACACAGGTTATATATAAGTATTGGCATGTTTTGTTCACCATAACGAACCACTAAGTTGGTATTGAGAGTCGAAAAGCAATGAGGAGTTACCGCCACACACCAGCCAGCCACTCGCTGCCACTCCCTCAACACACGCACTAAACTTTCTCCCCCAACAATACCAGTTGTGGTGTTATTACACTATATACAGACGTTATATATAAGTATGTGTATATTTTGTTCACCACAACTGTACAGCTAAGCTGATATAGTTAGTTCAGGCACTAAGAGTCGTCGCTATACACAGATGGCGGCTCCCTCACTCATTCAAGGTCACACGCACTAAACTTTCTCCCCCAACAATACCTTTTGCAGTGTTATTACCCTGTATACACATATTATATATAAATATCTACATGTTTTATGCACCGTAACTGTACACCTAAGCTTGTAGTGCGCCCAAAGAGCATAGTGGCCACCCTCTAAACAGCTAGACAAATCGTGCAGACGACGTCACCTCCGTCACCCATATGGCTCCTCCCAGCATAATCCTTTTGCTGTTATTACACTAATACACACATTATATATAAGTATCTACATTTGTGTTCACCATAGAGAACCACTGACCTGGTATGGTGAATGCAAACAATAACAGGTGGCCACACAGTCAGTAAACGATGCTGTCTCCCTCTTTCAGCATCACTCCTCCCACAGCGCTAATTATTACAACAATCCTGCTATTACCACAACCCTGGTTATTTATATCACAGTCATTGGTCATCTGTAATATTGTCATCGCTAAATAATAACAATTATATATTTATTTTGACATTTTTCGGCGATGCTGTGGTCACAAGCTGAACATCAATGCTGTTCGCTCATGCTGCGTGCGCCGGCCTTGGTTGCTCCAACAGTACTGTGGCTCTCACACCTGAGAATATTGCCCACGATTTTTTTTTAAAATGGCATCTGTTTACAAGAGCCCTGAGGAAGCTACTGTGAACCCCGTGTAGCCGCGGGCCATTTGAATCAGGCCTGGCACCCTATGGCGTATATATACGCCATGCGCACCATGGGACATGTTACTCAGGGCGTATATATACGCCATGCGCAGTTTAAGGGTTAAGGAAATTGAATCCAAAACAGTGCAAGGTAATGAAGATGACAAAGGAAGATAGGAGACGGGTGGGGAAACTACAAGGAAATGATAAAAAATTATCTCGGAGGATTTAAATTGAACATCGACACCAGAACCTCTTGTGAACAATATTGTCATTAGCATATTGGAAGTTGACAAGCAAAATGGCATTTACAAATATAAACTAAGAGGCTTTAAAGTTCACATAGTGGTTAAAATTTCTATACAAGATCATTATTGGAGTATGCTGCATTGGCTTGGAATGGTCATCTTATGAAGCACATAAGAAAAATTAGAATACAGAGATTGGCAACTAGTACCAGAATTTTTTAGGGGTAAAGTTTAAGGACTGGTTAAGGTAGCTCAGTCCATTTCTTCAGGTGCTGCTTACTCAGTGTCCAAACCCGGTGCATTTCCTGCAGCTCCGCCTCTTTCAGCAGATCTGGCCGGTGAGGTACCTTGCTGGTTTACTCTACTTTCCGCGCTTCGTGTCTGGAGTTTTGACGTGGGTGTATCACCATCTATATGGCGACCCAGTGGCTTCTCTAATGGTGTCCCACATGTGGTCTTTTTCTCGGCAACAGTATGAAGTCTCTTGGTGGTCTTTTCGCCCTTCCCTTTCTCTGTATAGGTTGTTCTCGGTCTCGGATCACGTTGTTGACTTTTCTTTCTTGGCTCTTTCAGGACAAACATCTTATGACGAATGCTGTCGCCTCGTATCGTGCTGCACTGGCGGTGCAGCTCCAGCTTGCATTCGGGGTAGATGTCACTTCACATCCATTTTGCAAGCTTTCTCATGCCTTTTCTCACCTCCAGCTTGCTCAGTGCCGCCTGAACCGTCCTGGTCTTTGGACCGGGTGCTCTCCTTTCTCTTTTCTCTTTGGTTTGTGGTGGCCCATTGGTCCAAGACTGTTTCCAGAAAGCTTCTTATTGGCTTTGGCTTCTGGGGGGTCGGGTTGGGGAGCTTCATGCTCTCTTCAGGCGCAGAGACTTGTTCTTTTGGTTCGGGGTGGACGTTTTGTTTGTTTGCAGCCGTCTCCTCTTTTTCTGGTGAACGAAACGGCGGGCTTCCGGAGGGGTCCGTAGGTTATTGGTGCTTGGTTGGTTAGGTCTGGGGTGCATCATGTTTTGTGTCCGGTTGCAGCTTTACGCCGTTACCTACGTGTCTCGGCCTCTGTGTCCAGGAACACACTTTGGGTTGACCCTGTTTCTCTTGTTCCCTGTTCCAGGGCTCGTGTTTCTCGGGTCATCCACAGGGTTATTAACACTTTGTGCAGCCTAGCGTGCGCGTCCCAGCCCATCCCAAGGTCAGCCTGGCGTTTCCTATAAGCGCACACCCACGCTAAAATGTGTATACTCTTTCCAGTGTGTTGACCTTAATTTTCGTGCTACGTCCATTTTTGTTTCAAATTGTTAGTAATAGATTTCTCTAAAGGGATATAAGGTTAAAAAACCCTGGCGTGTCCCCCACAGCAGACCAGAAAATCGGCCAGGCGTTACCCGTGAGTGCGTAACTGCACTAAAATGTACGTGCTCTTTACAGTTTTATGACCTCAATTTCCATGCTACATCGTTCATTTTGGTGTCAAATTGTTCGCTATAGATTTCTCTAAAAGGATATATGCATATAATGTAAAAGAAAAAGCAGTCGCACTAGCTGCAGCAAACCAGAAAATCCACCAGGCGTTACCCATGAGCACTCGCCCATCCAAACACCCGCACTAAAATGTATATACCGTTTACAGTTTTCTGACCTCAATTTTCACGTTACATCATTCATTTTTGTATCAAATGGTTCGCAATCTAAAGGTGCGCATTTTAAAACTAGTTGCATAATAATCGAACAATACCCCCCCAGGAAGCAGCCTATAGCAGCTGTCTACCTCCCAGGTACCTATTTACTGCTAGGTGAATAGGGCATCGGGATGAAAGAAACTGCCCATATGTTTCTGCCTCCACCGGGGATCGAACCCAGAACCTCAGGACTACGAATCCCGAGCGATGTCCACTTGGCTGTCAGGCCCCTGTACAGGCGTCTTTATGGATGCAGTTTCTGTCCCCGCCTGCCAAAAGTGTTATGTCTAGCCAGCCCGCTGTCTACCCTCGCCCACGATGTTCATAAGTTCGCAGCTTTGGCTGCTGTGTTTGACAATATGTCTTAGGCGGACATTTGGGCACGTGGGTTTTGAAGATCGAACAGGGTCCTGGCTGCCAGATATCGTGTTAATGTGCCAGGCCCTCAGCGGTCTTCTGCTGCCTTGGGTCAGCAGTTGCAGCCAATTGTCTTGTCTTCATTACGAGTGGTGCGGTGTAGCTGCCTCCTGGGTATGTACCTCTTTTTCTGCTCGTTGGGTGGTTAGCTCCAGGGAGCCGATGGGGCTCCCTCACAGAAAACCAGCGTTGAATGTAATGAAACGGCACGTTTTATGGGTATAGACCTGGAGGCTCCCTGGCACCCTTCTTTTCCCTGGTCGGCGGGTTTTGTTTCCAAATTGACGGTCCGGCTAAGTGGGCTGGTGCCCTCTTTCCCTCCGGGACGGGGGTGGTGTTCGGCATAAACAAGCGGTGCATGGCGTGATAACCTGTTGCTTGTTAGCTTGTTTTTTCTTTGGGGGAGTTTCTAGCCTCTGTTCGGTCTCGGGTTGCAATTTTCTACCAGGAGGGGTCTGTTCTTCAAGCGAAAATTTTCTTTTCTTAGTATGAAATACTTCCATACGTGTTTCACAGGCCTTTGCTCCCTGTGCCTCTGAGGGGGACCATGTTCTAGCTAGTGGTCCTCAGTAGGTGTGACAGCTCCATATAACTGAAGCCCCGTACTAATATTAGCTAATATCAGTCCAATAGCTCCAGGGAGCCTCTGGGGCTCTATCCAGAAAAAGGTGTTTCAATACATTCAACAGTGGTTTTTAGGTCCAGATAGACAGTCAACTTAACCATCTCTTTCCTGTGGAATCTCTGTGGCTCTAAGTTGATTTCTTATCAGGGTCTTCCTGTTCAAAAACCATACTGTCTGTCCGTTATTATGCCATTACTCTCCAGATGTTCTATCCATTTGGTTTTAACCACTAGCTTTTTTTTTGTGTGTGTGTGTGTGTTTTTTGACTGCCAAAGTATGTACCAAGTTTGACTACCAGTTGAAATTAAAGTCCCCCGTGTGTGTATGTACACATTTGTGTATTCACACACATCATTTTTTTATAATTATATAAATAAATTGTTCCTTAATTATCTCATTTCCTCTTCAGGCTCCACTTCAGAAATCCAGGCTAAAACAGCAGCGAGGCGTGTTGCACGAGCTATCCAAAAATTAGGATACAATGCCAAGTTCAAAAATTTTAGAATTGTTAATGTATTAGGGACTTGCACCATGCCATTTGCTGTGAAGATTACTCCGTTTTCTCAAAAATTCAGAAATAGAGCCAGGTAAGTGTAACTGATATTTTAAATTTCCACTATGTTTATCTAAAGTGTTACTGTTGTATTAAAAATATCCAAACGTGTCAGCATTTCCGTTTTTTCTTGGCATTGAACTTTTGACCCAAATGGTAAAAAAATTATTTTTATAAACTGATAAATATGTTGGAAAAGTTTACTTGGAGTAGAGATGTAGAGCCTGCTACCTTTTCCTTCTTTTCTGACAGAGATGGAAGTGGTTAGCTTCCAGAGAGAGGTTCATTGGTGTTTGCAGCTTGGTTTATCCAGTTCGGGATTGTACCTTCTGTTTTGGTTACAATGGTCAATCACTGTCGGCAAGCCACCCATTCTGCTTCGGTGGATGTACTGTTTGTCATTTCGGTTTCATTGGTCCCATGTTCCATGGTGTATTCCTGGTCATCTGCTACGTCCTTATCACTAGCCAATTGGGGTCTTCTCTTGGGGCCTTCATTGTTCGTCATTTCATAGCTTTGACCAGTCTTGACTTTAATATATGGGCTGCCATTCAGACTTGGATCTTGGAGACTTAACTGGGTCTTCCCAACATGGTTTCTAGTCAATATTTTTACTGTTCCCAGTCAGGTTTGTGTTCTTCACCCAAGCCATGTTTCCTGGCTCGGTGTTTTTTCTAAGACTGGCAAGTCCCGTGCTTTCCTTATTTTCTGTTAGTTATCATCAGGGAACCACCAAGAGGATCCTCCAGAAAACCAATATAGAATGTAATGAATTTGGCCCCCTTTCTGGGTGAACCCCTAGTGGCTTCTTGACCTCTTCCTTTCCCCCCCCCCCCCCTTCCTTTACCATTTACATCAGTTCAGGAATTGTCAACTCCAGGTTGACCAGCCACTTGCCAGGTGTCTGCCCACTTGGGAGTGCTGTACATGTGTACTATGGGGTATTTAATACCCTGGTTTGAATAAACCATTTTGTTTTGAGATATTCTTTTGCAGAGACTCATAGCTGTTTTAGTGCATCGTTTTCATGAACAGTGCAGTTCTTTATTGTCTTGCCTGTGCAGGCGATGAGTCACAATAACGTGGCTGAAGTATATTGACCAGACCACACACAAAAGTCTTGCCTGTTTTCTGGGCGCTTTCCTGTGTAGGGTGATTATAACAATTTCCTGCTCTGTGCCTTTGTGAAGCCATATTCTGGCTCTAGGTCCCTGGACTAAAACTAACAAACTAATGTGACTGTGTACGGAAAGCTGTCTTGGCGAGTTAACTTCAGGGAGTCACCAGAGCTAAGTTAGAAAAGGGCATTTCATTACATTCAATGCTGGTCTTCTGTATTATAAAGAATCATATGCATAAACACTGAGGTAGTTTCAAAGAATATTATGTTATGCTTTTCAACAGTTATGAACCAGAGCTGCATCCTGGCGTCACGTATAAGATTGATCACCCAAAGGCAACGCTGAAAATATTTTCAACTGGAAGTATTACTGTGACAGGTTAGTTTTCTCATTCCTGCTTAGTTTCTTGTTTTGTTAAATTAAATTTCATCTTGATTATGGAAATGATATTCTGTTGACTACAGGACTTGCATATTTTTAATTTGCTTGTGATCATTGCAAAGACCAGAGGAATCACAATCAAAGCTGAATGGATGTACAGTATAAGTTTAATAAGCTGGATATGTATAAAGTGCTGAAATGTCACCCTAATAGATTAAAAAACATTTAAGATTTAGAAAATAGGCAATTACTGGTTTAGAAAGTTGGCTTTAGTTCAAGGGAATGAATTGCCAAGTAACTATAGAAGCATCTGTTGGACAAACATGAGTGGAGGTAGTTGGGTGTAAATAGGAAATGCCTCTTAAGCCTTCTGCAGAACCCTATATTCTTAGGTTTTGTCCACTCTTGATGGCTTACAATGCGTTAGGTGCAAATGTGTATGAACACACTATTTTGTAGCACTGTAACCTCGCCACATATACTTCCTGATATTTATGTGAAACTTGCTTTCTAAATTTAATATTTTATTGGCATAATTGTTAGTTTTTGAAAGTTATTAGGTATAATGTGAAGGACAGAGGTTTTGTTATTTAAGGGAAAAATTTAATAGCACCAATTCATGTAGTGCATATTAAAGTTATATTAAGATGTACAAAATGGTTTAGGGAGTTCAATCAAGAGCTTTCCTCACTTTTTTCAAAATATTGTATGTTCAGAATTTGGCCTTATTGCTGTGATTTTACAAAGAAATGCCAATATCATACATTGTAAAAAATACATTTGACTTCACAAAAATCTAAATCTAAATTTCAAGGATGTATAACTGTTTTATTTTGATCAGTTGGTGAATCTTTATTCTTCTTTTTTCAGCTCCCAGTGTAAACAATGTACAGAGTGCCATAGAGCACATATATCCCTTAGTAAATGAATTTGGAAAGGCACGCACTGAAGAAGAAATGGCCGAATACTGGCACCTCAAGGCTAGACGGCAGTTATTACATGACGATGGGCACGATTCGGATTCTGATATTCCAGCCGACCTTTGGAACTAAGATCTGTAGTTTTGTATGATAGGTGTTGAATACTGTTAATCACCAAATAAGAAAACTCATCTGCAATCATCAAGCATATCACAGCAGTATATATGGTGTTAATTGAGTTTTGTATATCACATCATTCATATTTTTACATTCACTCAGCCTTCTGTAACATAATATTAGGTTGGTGCCAACCAAGGTTACTTTAGCTAGTCATAAGGCCAAACAAAAATATTTTTGTGTTTCCGGTAAAGAGCAAAAAATGAGGAGGCTAGCACATGAAAATTTTAGAAGTTTGGCTGCAAAGACATTTTATTGTAAAATTATTCACCTGTTGCTTTTTATTTTGTTCATTGTTATAAAATTAAAATGAATAACAAGTTTGATGAGTAGATGATTAATGGATTTTTGTATCTATTTGTTATATTTAATTGACTATCTTTCTCAAGAGCTGTTATCTGCAGTGTGAAAATTTTCTTTAAAAGAAGGAAATTTAGAGCTGTTTGCAACTGAACTAAAGAACTGAAAAAAGGCATTAATAATTTAACCTATATTTTAAAAGGAGTTAACATTATCAGTAAAGCACATTTAAAGCAGTTGACAAGTGCATGCTGCTGTAAAAGCAGTCACAGTTTGAATTATGAAAATAATCCCAGTATGTACTATAGTGTGGTTACTGGAGTAAAGTAGGGTAAGGCAGTGGGTGTTCGTGCTCCACTACTTCTGTCTTCCTTGTACCAGCTTTCTTATTATTACTTTTTTTTTTCTGTTAATATTTCCTTGTCAACTGCTTTATTTGTAATCTAACCAGCATGCAAAATAGGTTTGAGCTTTGCCATTGGGTCCTGCAGCACTCATCACCTTGCCCAAAAGACGTAAACATTGTGTTGGTAACCACACTGTCAAGTTTGACATCTAGGCAGGTTAACTTGCTTGTCAAACTTTAATAGGCCCCAGACATTTCATTTGATGTAAATAGTTTGCTCTCATGCCTTACCCACTGTAGTGGTGTCCAACTATTGAGAAGGGTATGCAAATTCAAATCATAACAAATTTAATACAAACACAATGCATGAGACATTAGGATTAAGGATTAAAATTCCTTGCATCAAAGCACCCTAATTTCAGTCTTCTCTCGGTTCCTTCATCATAGTTCCTCCCACATGATAAAATGAACTTGGCTGTATTTGTTTTTACTCCTGAAATTATTTCACAACTATCTAGCTTAGTAATATCCTGTATCAGGATGTTACTATGCACCAAAGAGTAGGAGTTTTATACAGTTGACGTGGGAAACATTTACACCCATTAACTAAATTCACACAAGTTGAACATTCCAAATGAATGGTTAACCCCCCAGAGAATCTCGAGTATATTCTCTTCATACATTAAGAATAAACTGTAAAACTGCATTTGTGTAAATGACTAACTCCTTACGATGAGGGTTTGCACCCAACATAATAAACTCGTGACAATACAGCAGTTTCATAGTGTATAATTTGTAAATCTCGTGCAGATTTCTATAAATGTAGTCTGAATGCATTATAGACTTGTACTAATGGACTACATAACTACTTCATTAGTGACAAATTAAACCCACCACTTTCCCTTCCAGCTAGCCTTTATTAGCACATGTCTTGCAGATTGACTAATACTTGTCTGCAAAAGCTCCTCAAATATAGTTTAAAGAGAAGGCCATGTTCAGTAAGCGACACTGAGAAAGTAAAAACATATAACCGAGATGAGTACGCATTTTGTGTACAGTATATATTATACTACGGTTTATATATTATGTAATATATATATATATATATAATAATATAATATGTTGCATATCTTGTATTATTATATAAACTGTACATGCTGTGTATACATATGGAATATAGGCAAATTACATGGCAAATGCAGATACACAATGAGTATGACCCAAGTTTGTATAAAGAACATTATTTTATTTCGGTTCTCTTTGTCATAAACAGAATCTAAAATTCGCAACAAGGCAGAAATAGACGTATAATACAGTCATGATAAAAAGGAACATTGTACAATTAATTCCAAATCGGTATAAAAAGATATAAAATGAATCCTGTATCAATCTGCAGCTGGAAAATTTTATATTAATCAGACCTACAAACACATTCTAATTGGCCTAATATCAGGATGTAAATAAATGAATCGGTGTTTAGTCTTATCTGGACCCAGTAGCTTCTACATGGAACTATTAGGATTAAGGTCATCTGATTTTGGTTTAAATTCATAAGCACTCATTTGATCGAAGGAGGATGTGAGTTTTATCTTATTTCATGGCTATCAAAATTCTTAACACCGCAAAAAAAAAAAATGATCTGTTTCAGTATTGCTAATTTGTTAGTTTCTTGCTTAGACAAGCCCCAAATCATCACTTTAATCATGGAATCGCAATTCATCCAGCACACCTGTGTGAAATTTCAAAATATAGATTTGCATTATAAAATATGACTGACTAATAATGAAGATGTCACTGCCTCATTGTATAATTTTCACAACTTGTCACAAACAAAAAAAAACAACTTTTAAGTCTTGGTTTGTGATCCAAAGGTGCTGTTGCCTCGTAAGTGTAACTAATGCAAGGCGAAATACTTTGATAGCATGTACATAGCTAGAGCTAACATTGAGAGATTAAGGGTTCAAAGGAACAGCAATTGACCTAGGTCTTGACTGAAAAATGTAAACTTAACAAGAATGCTTTAACCAAATTATTTGGAATATGGCACTAAATAAATGGTTTGTTTGTATATTGTAATGCACTCAAGTTGAAACAATACAATTTTATTTTTAATGCCGCCTTCATTCACTTTCTCACCTGTGAGTCCATAATCCCAGAGCGAATTCAAATCCTGGCAAAATACTCTTTAGTTATTGAGTGAACCTGCAATAAATATTGTATAGGCTTTGATAAATCTATAACATGTTGCCATCTATATAACACCATTGCTGTTTATACATGATGCCATCACAAGTGGTCTTTTCTGTGTGACCAGGCATGAAGTTTGGATTTGTCACTTGCGATCATGTGTAATTATAATGAGTACTGTACTGTATACGTGACTTGCAAAACTAGGCTGTAACTACTTTGTTACAAAACACAAATGTGCACAAATGATTTAGTATTTTAGAACATTATTTTCTTCTTCATGACTTGACTTCTGAATGAGGAGTGTTTTTTCTATTGTTTAGTTGTTTTTGGAATTGTGGCTACTTCATGATACGTCTGCAGTCTACTGCTTGGGGTAGCATTTTCTAATTTTCTTTAAATTGTTTTAGTTCAACAGTGTTACTGTCGGCACATAACATTAAGTAATCTCTTGAAGGCTATATTTTGTCAATTAATGCTATTATACTGTTCTCTTTGTTACTTGTCCATGTCAGTGTATCTATGCCACAGTTTTTTCTCATAGGGTCATGTGCTCTATAAAAAAAATTACTGTGGACTGTCTTGGTGACTAAATTATTGAATTACTACCTGATGGCTAGCTGGTAGGTTCTTTCTACATAAACTTCAGTGGGCCAGTTTTATGGCTTGCCACTTATGGATTTCGGCCCATAATTGCCTTTTTTAGTACATTCTTTTTTCCTATTTCTACAGTATTATTTATAAAAAAAAGTCCTGTATGAAATATACTTTGTGATTCTTTAGCTTTTATCTCGATCACATCTGTTGGATTATCATGTTTCTCATCACCATTATGTGCCTTTTACTCCATGGAGTATCTTAGTCACTCTTTCTTAAACAACTTGTATTAATTCTGCTGACATAATACTCAAATTGATTGTAAATTTTTAAGAGGCTTTCTCATCCATGACTAGGTTCAGTAACCTGGACCTGCCTCTGTGCACCCTGCTGCAGCCACTAGCTCTATCCCTGTCAGAGTGCCTGTATATCTCATACCCTTCAAGACCTTATTGAACATGCCTTCCACTCATCATTATCAACTTATTGTTGAATGAAGGCTGTTATTATTGTGGTATATCACTTGTAAAGATACTTGGTACAACTGCAGCTTAATGATCTATTGAGATCTAGTAGCTGTGACTTTTGTTTTGATGTGCTTTGGATCCCCTTTGTTGCATGATTTAATAGTTGCTTGCTTAGTGGCTAGTTATCTTGAAGGTTTGTCTTATTGCCAGACTTCTCTTAAGTCTTGTTGTAAAGTTTACTGCTTGCTTTTGAAATTTAAATTATTTCCGATTTTTCATCATGACAACGGAAGCATAATTGCAGTATGCAATCTTGTCACGCCTCTTCTGTAATTCACTGGCACTTCCACCTAAAGAATTTTTTTAGAACATTTAATCAGTCCATAAATCATAGCACTACAAATTCCTGGTAATTTCAAATTTTATATTACATATTTCTCGCTTCCTACCTTCTATTAGAATTAACAGTTTTTACTGAATATTATTTACTGGTAAATATTATATTGGCTGCAAACTGTGCTACAGATAGCTGTTGAGTTTCTTGCTCCTTTAATATCTTTTTCTACTTCTGCACTTTCTATCCTCTCAGATCTCTATCCAAGGCCTTGTCTCCCTCCTCCCATCTCTCCTCTGTGTTCTTCACGTCTGAACTCGCTTGCTCCTCTCTCGTCTCTATTTCCTTCCTTCAATTTCTTATTCCCTTCTTCAGTCTGTCACCCTTGACTATTTTAGTTTGCATTCTTTAGTAAATGGATATATTTTGTTCCCATTCCTTAAAATTTGGCCATGTAACACAGCTAAACTTTGTGGAGATTATGGCTGAACTCTCAAATTGCAGCCTTTCACTTGTACACCTCACCTCAATAGCTGGACAAACTATGGCTTGTGGTAGTGATACTGATATACAGTGTGTCCAAACTGGCACTGCAGTTACCATTCAAAACAACTGGCATTGACTAATAATATTATAATCAGTACTGATTAATAATTTGTGAACATAAGACTGTGGCAGGTAGTGCTTGAGTGAGCATTATTTAAGTAATCATCAGTTGGAAACTGGAAGGACAACGTAATTATTTAAAGTTAGGTCTTGAAGGTACATGTGAGACTGTTATGACCATCATGGCATAGCTTCTGGTTCTTTGATGTGTGGAAGCGAATAAAATGTTACGTGTGAGGAAGACAAAAGCAGCATTTGCACTAGATTGTTTTTATTGTAATTGAATAATGAATGAGTTGTACAAGACTAAGAGTAAAGTAGTTTTTGGAATGATGACTACTGTTGTGTGACACTGAAAGGATGGAAGTGACAGTTGTCAGGCAAAAAAGCTACTTGAGTTTGTAGCATTTATTAAAAGTTAGGTGTATTTACATGACTTGACATTTGATGCTACTGAAAAATGTGTCTTAGTGTTGGTATGTGAATGTATGATAACTGCAAAATATTGAGTGTAAATACTATAAGAAATAACCATGTGTGAGAGGACAAATTACGTTTAATTTCTTTACTTTGTTTTTTGCTGGGGCTTAAAACTTTATGAAGATTACCGGAAACACATTTGTATGGGAAAATGGCCTGAAGTGAAAGTTAAGCAGTCACTAAGGTGCACTGTTCCAAATACGAACAAAATCTTACTTCTTAGAATTGAACTTAATAATAACTTGGCCACAAAATTTGTTTAACTTTTATTCCGGGATGGCATTGTACTTTGTACATCATTTACATAATGCATGAAGATATTTGTCTGTTGTGCACCATTCATGAAACATTAAGACTGCATGAGAGTTCATGTTTAATACCTTGGTTTCCTACAGCAATATTTCAGACCCAAATTCACTAGTCTCCACAGAGGTGGCCCATGCTTGAACCTTTAAATCTATTATATTCATCCAGTCTCCTTTGTGTATTTTTTTCTGTGTATATAAATATGTATGTATGAATGTTATTTTCTTAGGTCTTGCACAATCTTTAGTTTTACTCTGTAAAAAGAGATGTGGGGCAGAACTAGTGACCACAAGGCTTGACAAGTGGCATTATTAAGGAGAAATATTTAAGCATGGGTTTTAAGTAAGCCATTGTGAATGTGTGGTGTAGCTAGAGGGGGGGAGCATCATGGGAACATTATACATTTCATCCTCATATTTTTTTACCTATGATGATTTGAAAGGATTTATTGTTAACATTTATTTCTGAAGTAAGACCTATGTTACTACAAAAGCAGCTTTATTTATTAAGGTTTTGAGTCACCAAAGCATCTTTTTGAATTGTTCACTTGATTTTCTCAGAATCATGTTTAGGTTTAGCTGAAACATTTGATATAGTAGTGATGGGTCGTGGTATTGACATTTGAACAGATATGGCAGTGGTGGTGAATGATCCGTCATACGGAACTTTTAATGCATCACCACATATATTGATATTTACTTATTATCTGTGTAGTCTCTGCCATAGTTTCCCATCACAATTACTGTGGTAATATTTAATATTTGAATATTTCTTAGTTGTATGAATTTCAATTTTGGCTTAAGCAAAGATTATTTAACCATATGTACTATTTAGACACTATACTAAATTTTGCAATGACAGACCTTGTTTATGTCGCCAAATTGTTTTCCTCTCTGCAAGGAAGCATTTTCGAAGTTAATGTTATGTCACTTCTGAATCTAAACCCTCTAGAAAAAGAGCAATACAAAAATGGCCTTCAATATGCTTGTTTCCCTTGGTGACCTTATTTGTATCTCGCATTATGAATTTGCCGTGCAATACGTACTGGTAACTGTTCTTGTGGGTTGCTACTCATTTCATAGCAAAGTTATCTAATGTCAAAGAAAAGAAAGTAAGTTACCTTAATCAGTTGTGCCATTAGTATGGCAGTATCATTGCCCAAAGTTTTCCATGTACGATTCTGTATCACATCTAAAATTTCAGAAGATATAATAGACAGACATATCTGAAAAGTGAAGGAGTTTGCAGTAGATATATATATATATATATATAATGCTTGATCTGTTCATGCTCCAATGTGTGTTCATGTATTTCTTTTGTATTCTTCGATTTATTGTACTGTATCCATTCTGTTAAAAAAACACAGAGTGCAGATTAGGGACCTTAACATATTCCAACATTTTGGCTGGTTTAGGAACAACACATAGTAGGTCGTGTATAGTACCAACCAGTTGGTCAAAGACGTATCAATGAATGGGCTTATTAACCAGTGGTTGAACAAATAATTAAGCTAATATAAAGTAAGTTATTTGCATTGAGCACCGAGTTGAAAGATCCTTCATTCATAAAATTAAAAATAGATTTGCTATTCATGATAATTTAAACAGGGAAATACATAACAAGATAGTGCTACAGATTGGTTCATTAGCTGACAATGTCCCATGCATGTTAACAGCAGCTGGTGAGAGTATTATTTGGACTAGTTCAATCACTGCCAGTGATGCAGTACTTCTGACATGTATGAATATCTATTCATTTCCTATTTCCATTCGTCTGGAAATAGAGTACAGTTTCTTGGAGAGCTACGTGCTTCTTTGACAGGGGATAAAATGAATTACAGTACACCAACTATTTCACATTTAGAAATTACCCCTAGTTATTTGTAAATCTGACCCTGGCTTCCTATCTTTGATCATGAACCCTAAACCGTTCCCCGATACTCCTCTAGAGCTTGCTTTCCATTGCATGTTTAACTCATGGGCACGTATTGGAGCACTGCCTTGCTCCTTACTGTCCGAATTGCATTGTACCTCTTACAGTTCAGCATGTCCTTGTTGAATATCCTGACTTCCAGGACGTGCGAGAGTCTTGCTTCCCAACTGTCCATCAGTCATGTGTCCCTCGATAGAATCCTTGGTAAATCATATACCTATGATAATGCTCATCTTGTGCGTATTTGTATCCTTAGTACAGTAATATTTATCACCTTTGATGGTACTACATAGTCTCCCCTGCTTAGTGCCTTCTTTTGATAATTACTGTATTTGCTTTTCATTGCCACATCTGTGGTGGTATCCTCATATAATTCACCAAGTGACAATAAATATTAAAAATATTTCTCTGGCTCTAGCAAAAAATCAGATTCTGTGAGAACCTTATTGTCACGGATATCCAGGTAGATAGGATACAATTCATTTTTTTATGGAAGCTCCTATACACACAAGAAGGTACTGTATTTCAAATTTGATTATTCAGAGAAAGCAGTGATTATTTACAATTTGAAATTGTAAAATATAAAGAAATGGTGCTAGCAATAAGCTCAAGCATCGAGTTGCGATATCAGCGTACCAAGATGCATGTTTTACAAGTGCTGTCAGAAAAACAAGCAAATAGGCAAATTACTGCACGAAGCTCAACATGTTAATAATCCACTTATCTCTTTAGAGACAGATTACTAGACTATCAAAAATATTCCTTTTGAATGAATACAAATGTCTTTCAACCTCAGAATAGTACTGTAGTTCTATTTGTACTTGAATTATGTTAGAATAAGAATCAAACTCTAGCAGTAAAATACTTGTTGGAAATTTGGTCATAGTGTTTCAGCAATGCTTTGTCCATAAATATTTGACTTTATTTGCAGCAGATCTGACCCCTTGAAAAATTTAATGTGAAGATCAACTGTTTGAGCCAGATACAGGAAGCCTGCTAGGTTTTACTGAAATGCCCCAACCCAATTACAAAATTAACCTGCAGCAGATGCCAAATACCTTGGTATCTATTTACTATGTGAACAAAGGCATTGGATGAGAGAAAATGTTGCAAAATGATTGTTTTCTTCTGATGGAATATATTCAGGGGCACCTCAGTAGTAACCTGAACTGACTACTGTGCCACAAAGTGCCTTTATGCCACTTGTAAAGGAAATAGCTCAGCATATTATACTTAAAATTTTGCCATTTATTATGCACCCTGTACCCATCATGTGGGTAGAGTAGCGGAAAATGTTACACACACACACTGGGCTTAGACAACCTCCAAATTCATTTAGCTGTGCAAGTTACAATCTTGACAAGCTAGTTACACACTTTAATATATACAATATATCTGTAGTCTTTTATAATATAATATATATATATATATATATATATATATATATATATATATATATATATATATATATATATATATATATGTCGTACCTAGTAGCCAGAACACACTTCTCAGCCTACTATGCAAGGCCCGATTTGCCTAATAAGCTAAGTTTTCATGAATTAATATATTTTCTCTAATTTTTTTCTTATGAAATGATAAAGCTACCCATTTCATTATGTATGAGGTCAATTTTTTTTATTTGAGTTAAAATTAACATAGATATATGACCGAACCTAACCAACCCTACCTACCTAACCTAACCTATCTTTATAGGTTAGGTTAGGTTAGGTAGCCGAAAATGTTAGGTTAGGTTAGGTTAGGTAGGTTAGGTAGTCGAAAAAACATTAATTCATGAAAACTTGGCTTATTAGGCAAATCGGGCCTTGCATAGTAGGCTGAGAAGTGAGTTCTGGCTACTAGGTACGACATATATATATATATATATATGTCGTACCTAATAGCCAGAACGCACTTCTCAACCTACTATTCAAGGCCCGATTTGCCTAATAGCTAAGTTTTCATGAATTAATGTTTTTTCGTCTACCTAACCTACCTAACCTAACCTAACCTAGCTTTTTTTGGCTACCTAACCTAACCTTACCTATAAATATAGGTTAGGTTAGGTTAGGTAGGGTTGGTTAGGTTCGGTCATATATCTACGTTAATTTTAACTCCAATAAAAAAAATTGACTCATACATAGAGAAAAGGGTTGCTTTATCATTTCATAAGAAAAAAATTATAGTAAATATATTAATTCAGGAAAACTTGGCTTATTAGGCAAATCGGGCCTTGAATAGTAGGCTGAGAAGTGAGTTCTGGCTACTAGGTACGACATATATATATATATATATATATATATATATATATATATATATATATATATATATATATATATAATTATGTGTGTGTAGTAATAGTTAAATGTGCTAATTCAAGTTCGTTTATTGAGACAAGAAAAAATACATCTCAAAGGGATAGAGTAGCTTAGGTTATTTCTACCCCCCACCCCCTCTACTTCAAGTCCTTCAAGGGGCGCACAAATTCAGTGAATACAAATACAAGATGTTCTAAGGTGTGGGCGTGCGGCATACTAGATAATTTACACTCCTTATCTTTTTCACAGACATCAACACCGTATTGCCAGATATATTTGTATCCTAATCTTAATCTCATGTAAATTGAATCCTTCCAAGTAGACTTTCCTCTACCATAGGTGAAGGACGAGTTTGTATTTATTATTGGATAATTCTTAAGTGTGTTACTACTGTCCACCATTGCCATTCTCTTTACCATTTCGTCACCCCCTTGGATCATCTCGATTCTTGTTTTTATTTGTTTCAAAGTTATCTGACATATAACATCAACAAGAGTTTTTTCCGTGGCTTTCTTCGCTGTCTCATCAACTACCTCATTCAACAGTATTCCCACATGTGAAGTGATCCACATGAATCTTACTTTATACCCAGTTTTTTTTATAATTTCTTAACATTCTCTCTACACTCTATCACAATATTCTGGTATACTGGGCGTCTGCTATTTTAAGACTAACGCCCCTTTACTATCAATAAAGAAGCAAGCATTTTTACCACATTTGACTACTTCCTGTAATCCTGCTAATACACCTTGGAGTTCAGCCTGTGTTGAAGAGACATGTCAGTTAAGCGACGTCCAATAACAGTATCTACAGTACCGATGTATACAGGCAATAGTATACGATGTATACTATTATAAGTTCTTTGAACATTGAAAATAGAACTATCCATGGTTTAACATTTAATTGTCTATTATAAAAAAACGTTCTTTATTAAGTAATTATTATTACTTTAATCTTATTCCCTAGTTAACATACGCCCATAGATCCCAATAGGCTCAGGAATCTGTACACCAGTTGAGAGGCGGGACCCAAGAGCCGACGCACAACTAGGTGAGTACACAACTCCCTCGGCTTCCTCCTCGTTTTCTCTGCCTTAGAACCATGTTCTTTATGTAGTCCCATTTGTTACACAGTTCTTGCAACAATGGACTAGTGATCTAAATCAGTGCTTACACCAATTGTCAATACAAGGTGAGTAACAATAAACCAAAAGACCTAAGTTGCTGCCCGCCAAACACGTTCCAACAAGGTTTAACACCTAAAAAGCTGTGACAACCAATATAGCAAGATGTAACAACGTTCTAATACGTCATAAAATGTTGTAACAAGATGTAACAACTTTATTACACGATGTAACAAGCAGAAACTAGGGGCAGTTACGTTATATGTGTCTGTGTGTGTCTATGTGCAGGTTACGGGAGACATCTCCCGTCACGCAGGGTGCAGTCGCACCTCCACAGATCTCCAGTATCATCTATTGATACTGGTAATGGCTCAAAAGGACCACCACTTACGGGCTATTCATGCCCGTGCCACCTCTTGGGTGGCTTAATCTTCATCAATCAATCTTGTGCAGGTTGGTGGGCGTCCCCCTGCAGACGTGGTGAAGCCGTCCTCTGGGAGGGGTGCAGGATACACCACGGATCCCACCCACAGTGTTACCGTCCTTAACTGAAATTATCGGTCAATACTGAAACAAACAAAAAATATAATGCTCAATCAGCCTCCATTAGCACACTCTGGGTACAGCACAAGAATATCTTGCAATATTCCTGAGTGTATGAAGTAACTACAGAGCTCAAAGTACCTCATACCATTTGGCCTGAGATCAAATCAAATAAAAAATCAAATGTTTATTTAGGTAAGGTACATACATACAAGAGGTTTTACAAAGAGTGATGGATTTATAGATAGGGCTAGTACATACAATGCCTAAAGCCACTATTACGCCTGTAGATATACATATATGTGGCTACAAAGATATAGCTATATACATATGCCTGTATATATACATATATGTGACTACAAAGATATAGCTATATACATATGCCTGTAGATATACATATATGTGGCTACAAAGATATAGCTATATACATATGCCTGTAGATATACATATATGTGGCTACAGAGATATAGCTATATACATATGCCTGTAGATATACATATATATGGCTACAAAGATATAACTATATACATATGCCTGTATATGTACATATATGTGGCTACAAAGAGTGTAGCAGATGTGTGTGGCGCCTGGCGAGCGTCACCGGGGTTTGAACTTCCCGCCACATGTTCTCGCCATTTAAAATCATCACAACAATACACACGAAACTCCGGGAGACACGTGGGTATTTTCGCAGCAAAGTGGACGCTCCCCAGGTCTTGCCCTACTGCTGTTCTCAAGTATATTGAACCGGCGAATCGGCTGTAAGTATGGGAGTGGTTAGTGAGGTAGTTGGGATAGTATGAGGGACGGTAAGGTGGTGTGTACTGTGAGCTATGGGGAGGTACTAGCCCTCATCCTCCTTATCACTGCCCGGGGCTCTGGAGGCTGGGAGCTGACCTCCTAGCCCTCATCCCCAGCACTGCCCGGGGCTCTGGAGGCTGGGATCTGACCTCCTAGCCCTCATCCCCAGCACTGCTCGGGATTCTGGAGGCTGGGATCTGACCTTCTAGCCCTCATCCCCAGCATTGCCCGGGGTTCTGGAGGCTGGGATCTGACCTCCTAGCCCCCATCCCCAGCATTGCCCGAGGTTCTGGAGGCTGGGATCTGACCTCCTAGCCCTCATCCCCAGCGCTGCCCGGGGCTCTGGAGGCTGGGACCTGACCTCCTAGCCCTCATCCCCAGCACTGCCCGGGGCTCTGGAGGCTGGGACCTGACCTCCTAGCCCCCATCCCCAGCACTGCCCAGGGCTCCGGAGGCTGGGATCTGACCTCCTAGCCCCCATCCCCAGCACTGCCCGGGGCTCTGGAGGCTGGGACCTGACCTCCTAGCCCCCATCCCCAGCACTGCCTGGGGCTCCGAAGGCTGGGATCTGACCTCCTGGCCTACACCTATCCCCCTTAATCCATTGCTTTCTTTTATAATTACTCACTCTAAGCTGTTGTGGGCAGAATAGGTTCCATAGATTTAGGCCTTCCCCATCAGTGTAGGCTAGACCAGCATTTTTTTAAACATTTTTTTTTACTGCAAGCCACAGCAAGAACTGCATTTTGTGTATGTTATTGTATTTATTTATATATTTATTTATCATGTGAACTCACATGATAAATGTGAGTTCACATCATTAATGCATATATATGGATAAAATCTTGAACAGGTTCCATCCATAAATATGCATTTATCATGTGTCAATAGTAAATAAAGGAACATAATTCACAGAAGTATAATTACATATTTATATTTTTAGGAAGAATATATACAAAATAAAAAAGCATTTTTGCATGAAATTTTTGCAAAACAAGACACCATAAACAATGTTTTTTAAAAGTTGTTATTTAATGAGAATGATGTACTGTACTTGTTAAATGATAAATTTGTGAATCTAGGTTTTGGGCCGTACTGCTTAGTTTAGCGAGGTTTTATGTCAACAAATAACTACAATACAAAATTTACAGAGGTGATTACACTGGTAAGGATATATTGTATGTCCACTCATGGATGTCGACCAACAAACTCTCACTAAACATAAAAGAGACCTACTATATTTTATTTGGTAGTAAATCTTCAAATTCAAATTCTGATAGACAATGTTAACATTATCAATAAATATGAAGGAAAGTTTCTTGGCCTTTACATAGACTAGAGACTGAATTTCAGCACCCACATACAACACAGCCAAAAAAGTATAAAAATTGGTCAGTATACTCTCTAAAATCAGATATTCAGATATTATGTTTCCTACTCTGCTCTCCTCTCATTATACTATGCTCTAATCTATGCCTATCTTACATACTGTATCTGTGCATGGGGTTCAACCACTGCAAATTACTTCAAGCCTATCATCACTCGGCAAAAATCTGCTATCATAACTATAACAAACACCTGTTTTCAGACCCCCCCCCCCATTGTTTAAGTCCCTTAACATGCTAAACATACACTCATTCCACACACATTCTTCATGTGCTATTTACATGTACAAGACCTTGTTCCTAAATGCTAATCTTGACCTGAAACTTTTCCTTGATAGGTGTAATAGAACCCATGAGCACCACACCAGAAATAAAGATATATTTATTTTTGGGTATCTTTTTGGGTGCCTAACTTGGTCGATGGCAGACATAGAATGCTTCCAACCACAGGGTGGTTTCTATAAGCCATTGCTCCTTGTGCCTCTCTGCTGGTGCCAGGTTCTGGCTTGTGGTCCCCGGTAGGCATTAGAACTCCATTCGAAGGACTGTTGCCATGGTCTAATACATGCATATCAGCCCGGTAAGCTCCAGGGGAGCCTCTGGGACTCGCCCAGAAAATGGAGTTTCATTACATTCTACACTGGTTTTTTATGGAATTTAAGAAAAGTTGCTAATGCCTGCTAGGTTTATTAATGTCTTCTTCCAAGTCAGTAGCTGGTCATTCCCAAGGATGCACCATACTGCAGTTGACTAACTCCCATTCATCTGTTTACTGCTAGGTAAACAAATGCATCAGGTATAACGACATACCTGTATACCCAAATATGTGTACAGCATACATATACTGTACAGCAAACAAATTTTTGTGCCCAGACATCTAACTTAAACATCTGTTAACTCTTGGTCAGCTATAAGGACTTACTTTTCAGGCTATAGAAAAATGGTTCGAGGAAGAGCAGCTTCAAAAGTTGAAGCTAAAGAAGTTAAAGTAAATGGAGAAGTATCCAAAGTACCCAAAGGAAGAGGGCGGAAACGCACACTCACATCCAAGGCTCCACTTGAAGTAAAAAAGGTCAAAGGTAATCATTATCAACTAAAGAAATTTGTTTTGTTTGTCCTAAGTGTTATATATTGGTGCCTAAAGTAGTAACAAAACTGAAGCGAAGATGTATGAATCTGAATTATACAGTTAGCTCTTGCTATATGTGTGTTTGATATTCACAAATTTACTATCCAGGAGATAAGTACTAAAAAATAAACTTCACTAAATGCAAGCACTGTTTGCTATATTGAATTTGTGATTGTTTTGTGTGTTCAATTTTTTTTGGAGTGCCATCCTGCATCTTGGCACCTTCCAAATGTTCAGTGCACCCTAAAATGAACCCGTGAATAAATATATGTCATTGGCAAATTTGTATATAATCTATTTAGTAGATTTATGGCTGGAAAATGGCTATCACTTGCACCTAAGTTTTAGTTCTATATGGGTAAAGTCATTGGCTGGTGCAGTTCACTGGCCACCTGTGGAAGGAAAACTGGATAATGTTTATATCAGTGGCAAAAACTTAATACCAAAATTTCAGAGACTTCTCAAATACAGTATATCATTACATGTTAAAATATGAAGATAAATAAAACGAATGGAAATACAGATTGAAATCACAGTAACATGATGTATCTATGACAAAATATTGAGTCAAATGTGATGGGATCAAACCTGTATCTGGACTTACCAGACACACATGCTGCCAACTGAACAAAGCTCTAAAGTATCTTGACCAGAAGTTCTACCTTCTAAAGTGAATCAGGCAAACTTTCTAATCCCAGTACTTTTGAGCCCATCCTGGTTGAGTCAGCAGTGTGTGTGTGTGTGCAGAGTCCAGGTATGATAGTTTGATCCTGTTACATTGCCTCCAATATTTTTTTCAGAATAGAAATGCATTTACTATAATTAAGTTTTAATTAGACTGTTTTCTTAAGCATAAAATTGGATAATTTTTCTTGATTGCAGTTCAGTGTTTTTGTGTCTGAAATTATAGTTTTGAAAAGTGCAGGTGGGATGACCAACCCACACATCAGAAGATAAAGAAACGACATTGCAATCCATCCTGGACCATGTGATCACACGAATTGATAATAGTCCAGGATGGACTGAAATTGTCTTCTCTTCTTTCTTCTGATGTATAGACAATTTGTTTTAATATGTATAATATTCTATCACTTTTCATCTTTTTATTCTGGGTTGATACCTTTCCTCTCTTTGAGACTGGAAAATGGGGTATTGCTTATGTATGTATGGTATTTATGTACTGTACCTATGATTAAGGACATTATGTATGTTTTTTTTTATAAAAACATTTTACTATGCATTTGGAATACAGCATTTAGTTACAGTACTGTATTTGTAAGTTGCACATATAAATGTTAACTTGACTAGGATCATGAATATGTAGTTTGTAATCATTGGCTAATAATTATATCTTCGATGAAATCAATTTAAATTTTGCACTGCTATCTTCAGTTATACTGCCCTTGAATGTAAAAGCAAAGAGGTAAGCATTTTTTTATCTTGTCTCTCTCCAAGTATATAAATCTATTTTCTTTTTCTTTTTTTACATAGTGAAATTAGAAGCCCCAAAGGTAGAAAATGGTGTGTTGCTAACAGTGGGAATGGGTGACATTGGTCAGCTTGGTTTGGGACCAGACGTCGAAGAGAAGACTCGACCAGCCGTTGTGACCTCTCTGAGCGATATTGTTGCTATTGCAGCAGGTGGCCTCCATTCAGTGTGTTTGGATAAAACTGGCAAGGTGTGACACTCGGCACTAATGTTTAATGCCATTTATTCTATATACAGAATGTTTATGTAAAATGTTGGTGTATGTGTAGATTTGGCAAAGTATTCAGATCTACAGAGTATTTTCAGTCACTGTTTTCCTAAATACACTTCATTAAAACCAATAAATTGGTTAAAGTAGAAATAACAAATCACAACTGATCCTTTGCATATTAGCCAATTCAAGATGAATTTGACAGGTCTATCTGTAAACTAGTGGGGTATTTTGCTACTCTCTTAGTCAGTCTAGTTGAGTTATGTGAGTATTTCACTGAATTATTTTTAATTTGTTGTCACCAGTTTCTGTACTGTAAGTGTTTTATACATTCAATGTCATTCGAGTCCTATGAAATTATTGAACTACAAAACCTTATTCAACCAGAGGCTATGATCTTTGTGCATTTAAATGTGTTAGAAATCCATACAAGATCGCCATAATTTAATTATTTCTATACTTCCAGTACATTTTAATGTGTTTATAAATATAAATTAAGTAATGAGGCAAAATATTGATGTGAAAGCTCCGCTTCCCACAACCTTTCTGAAATCAAACAGGATTTTCCAGAGATTCATCTCAGTTGTGTGAAACCTCTAGGAATACAACTAAAATTCAGATTTTAAAAAAGTATTTATTAGTGGTTATTTAATTTGCAAAGTTGGTTTAGTCATTATTAACTGTTGATGATTTTGATATATAAAAATTTCTGTTGATTTTATTTTTTATAAATTTATAAATTAAATCCATCATATGACTTCAGGTTTATACATGGGGCTGTAATGATGAAGGAGCCTTGGGTCGCCATACAGACAATGATGAAGACACCTACACCAGTGGCGTTGTGAACATCGATGGAAAAGTGGTTCAAATTAGTGCTGGAGACTGTCACACAGCAGCGCTTCTTGAAGATGGCCGAGTGTATGCTTGGGGATGCTTCAGAGTATGTCTTATTGTTTCTGTTACCAGATATAATTTCTATCTTTTTTTTACTGGAGCTGTCTGTGTTTTGCACATGAATCTTGAATGCTATAGTTATCTACCATGCCTCATTAAAGGGAGTCATCCCCCAACCACAAACAGATACAGATAGGTGTTAGTTCTGGAAAGGTGGTGTTTGTGAACCATTTGTTTGGAATGTGGAATGAGATTCCCCATAAGGTATGCATTCCTGGATCATTAAAAATATCACAAAACCATCATTTTGGGGGATATATAATATAAAAATGCAGCATATTATTTACTTTGAATGATGGAGTTGTCCTACTTGTCAATGTTGGCTATTTTTGAGTAGAGAAGAGATCTAGTTGCTGGATGAGGCAGCAAGAGGTGGTGATGTGCAAGAGGTGGAGGTTGGCTGGTCATCAGTGTCACTGGTTCAGTTTGATGTGGGAGATGATACATGGGTGGCAAACATGGATAGGTCCTTTAGGATAGTTTCGCTTCTTGAGTGGTTCATGCCATAAATGTTTGCAATGTGTTGAGTTTTCACCCTTCTCAGAATGCTTGGTAATCTCTAGCCTTGTTTCTAAGGTAATGGGTTGCTTCTTAGTTGGCACTGGTGCATTACCAACACTTCCTGTTTACAATTGTTAATGATATTTTCCTCAATAAACAGCTGATAGTCCAAAGAATATTCACTTATTATTTTTATTATGAAACATTTCTATGTTCACTCATATTGTTACTTTGTCTCTACCTTTTTGTTTTTAATTTTTCCACTTTTTTTTTTCCTCAGGATAACAATGGCCCATTAGGTTTCTTGGATAAAGGGAATTTACAAAAAACACCTAGACAAATTTTAAGTGATGTTCCTGTTATAAAGATCTCCTCTGGCAATAATCATCTGGCATTACTGTCTCAAGATGGCCGGGTGTTCACATGTGGCTGTGGAGAGTCTGGACAATTAGGCAGGATTGCTGAAGTTTTCGCCTCCAGAGATTCTAGAAACCGAAAAGGCATAGGTAAGGCTCTAAGGTTTGTAATGCATGAGGAAGTTTCACTGCTAATTTTGGCAGTTTAGAGATTGTTCATTAAGTTTCCAAAAGTGATTCTCAAGGATTTTATCATCGATAGTGTTATGGGTGATTTTATGTCTTTTGGTTGTCGAATAATTAAGTATCTATGGCAGGAATACAGCATACAAGGTTTACACATACCCTAATGTCAGGGGAATTTGTCATTATTCTCTATTGTTATTTCATTTGAATTTAGATTTTTACTATATCCATTTATTTGTCTTATATATAACAGCATCACTATTGCAAGTTTCAATTTTTATGGGGTAAGGAGACACCAACCTGGAGAAGAAAAGGGAAGTGCAGGGGGAGGGATCCTTAACTTACAAATGCAATTAGTTATGGAGAACTGTTAGCAAGGCATTTGTTCGGCTCTCAGAACTATAATTCCCATTGTTATAATGCTGTGAATGAGTTAGATTCCTGGCCACCAAAATCATTTATCTTGTACAGTGGAACCTAGAGTGACGAGCGGCTCCAGTTACGAGCATTTCGAGTAATGAGCAAGCTACTTGTAGAAAATATGTCTCAACTGACGAGCTTTCACTCGAGTAACGAGCGTTCCCACTGGTTCTCGGACATCTCCGATGACAGTTTTGTTATTTCACAAGACGAGTTTTCCACATGACGAGCTTGGTGCCGAAACAGATTAATTTCATTAATCGAGGCGCCACTGTATTCTGGACTTGTTCTGCATATTGGAATAATTTATTTAAATCAATAATACCATGATACCTCTGGATGAGAGTGAGGCTGATCAGGATTTGGTGTTGATTGTGATCTTCAATCCGTAGGTTTAACCCCTCAGAATGCAGTCATTGTCGTTTGTCGCTCTCCTTGGCCACTGTGGTCATTGTCATTTCTTGATTTTGTTATTTCTGCCTGGTTTTTGTATCAGCGATATAATCTACATATGGATGTAGTAGAGTTAACCAAGACCCATGAACAAATTGTCTTATTGTTTTATAATGGCTTATTAAGCGATGAGGTTGTAAAGTGGGATTTCATCTTTGCCCCAGTGTTTGAATCTGTGCCTGGACGACATTCATAGTCACAATCACAGGACAGGAGTTTCAATACATGTCCTCTATTTAAGCTGTGTAATTATCTCAGAGGCCAGGAGATGGTAGTATGGGATATTTGCTATGGGGCCCCAACATGGTTAAAGGGTTTTTATGGAAAATAGTCAGTTAAAATAATAAATATAGGGGGTTGCTGGATTATTTCAAGTGTAGGTTATGAATGTAAATAGGAATTGCCTCATATATACCAATAGGCTATCTGCAGTTTCCTGTATTCTTATGTTCTAGGATATTTATTTGGAAGTTAGCATGACACGTCAGTATGGTTTGTTATGTTCAGTGCACTTAAAGGTTCAGTAGTTTGTCTGATCAACCACTGAGTATTTGACAAGTATGGCCCTTCTATATCTGCTTTGATTGCTAGCTGAGAGAAAAGACAAATAATGCAAACTTGTGATGTTTAAAGGTTAGATTATATTCAGCTCCTTAAGTCAATTTCTTTAAATTATCACCCTATTTGTATGTTTCATATGCTAGCATTTTTTACCATTACTTTCACTCTTAATTTCAGAAACTTTACTAGATCCACAGCCCATTAAAGTGTTCAAGAGTCGCAAAGCTGTTCTCTTCGATGATGTGTGGGCTGGAGGCGTTGGCACTTTTGCCAGGGCAAGAGAGACTGGAAATATTTATGCATTTGGTCTCAACAATTACAACCAACTAGGTAAGTATTTAGATTTTCTGTTCTTAATCCCTTATATTTGTTAGTTACAGCGACCTTTCCTTGTGGTTACCTTGCGTTGATTTCAGGGCTCAACGTCCCGCGGTCCGGTCTTTGACCAGAAAAAAATTGAAAGAAAATTAGGCAGTTTTGCTTGGAGTTTATGCACATTGCAATGTCATGTGTAATTACATGTAAACAAAGGTGTGTTTACATGTAATTACATTAATTATTTTAATTAATTACATTAATTATTTTATCAACTAGCTAATAAAATATTTTTTTATATCATTCATTTATTCTGATAAAGCAAAATTTATGAATGCATAATTATCTTGTAAATTTGACGTTTAATTTTCCTGCTCCCGAGATCGCTCCTGCTTTTAATTTTCTGTAGAGTTGAACAGCTTTCTCAATGCTTTGTCATATATAGATTTAATTTGATGAGAAAGAGGAAAAAGGGGGATTAGAGGAAAGGAGTGGTGGTGGGAAGGGGAAGAGAGGTGAGGGAGGAGAGATTCAGGCACAACCAGGTAACCTCCCCCTAGAGTTATGTATTACAAAATACAGTAGACTAAATTTTATTAAAAAATTTTCTTTTTAACACTTTGCCTGGCCTGGTATAAACCACCCACAGCACACTGCAAGGTAGGCTGGGCGTTGGCCATAAGAACACAAACGAATATTACACTTTGACTTGCAGTGTTTATACTTAATAATAAGAATAAGCAACATATAATTGATGACGGCATTAACGTCATCACCCGAACTGCGTGTATTGTTTTAATGACCTAGTGAACGTCATCATGATGCCAAAGTGTTAAATGGCTCAGCTGAAAAGACCAGGATTTTCTTACTAGACATGTAATTAAAATTGGGATTTTCAGAATGTTATTTTTTGGGGGCTTCTTTGTGACTAGGGATAAAAGCTGAAAAATAAGTGCTGCAGCTAAAGGGTTAAACTAATTTCATTCATGGCAGTAAAGTTGTTAATAATTTGAGTTTACTGTATTCATTTCATGTTGTATTGGAATTAATTCATAAGCATGTTATGGTCTTTGGTATGCTTTTTCAAATCTCAATATTTTCTTCTTGCACTTACAAATTTAACCTCTGTTTCAGGTGATGAAGATACCAACCTTAAGTTCCAGCCAGTTTTGTTGAAGAGTTTTGTAGGTAAAACCTGGAAACAAATCTCAGGTGGACAGCATCATAGGTATGGACTTATATATTTTGACAATCAGTATTATAATTGCTCAGAATTTCATATTAACATCCATCTTAGTAGATATCTCCTGGAGGGAATATCTTAGATATATCTATAAAATATAATGTCTGTCCATCTGTTTGAGGTTGTATTCCAGATGCTTGGGGCCTCCTTAAACTCTGCAGACTTTTTTGGGGAGTGTCATAAAGGGGTCAGGGTCAGCCCATTGCTTCCCTGAAAGAGGGCGTGGCCCCAATGACGCTGCTTCACAAAGTCTGTGGATGTGAAATAATTCAGATACGGTATTGATTTTCAAAACCTATGTTCAGATAACAGATGTGCATTCTAGGTGCAACCATTTGGTTAGATTGATAGGGTAAGGAAGTGGCAGGGAGTGAGGAGATAGGGAAGGGGTGTATGCGTTTAGGTAGGGAAGAGAGTCAGGGAGGGAGGAGACAGGGAGTGTATGTGACAGGACATAGAAAGGTTTTGTGGGAGGTGGGGGGGGTGGATATGGGTAGGGTTTGTGGGGAAAGAATGTAGATGGTGTGAAAATGTTTAGTGATGAAAAAAGTCTACAGTATAATGAAGATTATTACAGTGATGTGGGGAGATTGGGAGGATGTGATGGAGACATGGGACTGGATCAACTCAGGAACTGCCAGGTACCCCATCTAGTGATTTTATATACAGGGTATACTGTATATTTTTTCTGCTGAAAGATTTTCGTTCAGTATCCTGAGAATGCTTCACTGTATCGATGTGAAAATACAGTACAGTACTTTGAGTAAAAATTATGCTAGCTATTGGAACTGAGATTTGTAGCCCTAGAGCAACCTTTTCTTTTATATTTTATTTCCATGCAGTATTAGAAAGCTTCTGCTTATTACTTGTAAATCAACTGTACTTACAGATACTGTAATCATAAAACTAAGAAAGAAGTACACTATATGTAACTCCTTTATATATGAGTATGAGATAGTGGGAATATGTAACATTTTCCATTAAAATGGAGTTGCAGTGTAGTATTAATGATGTTTATTCATCACTTCCAGTTTGGCTCTTACTGATGATGGCACAGCATACTGTATGGGACGTCGAGAATATGGACGTCTGGGTTTAGGAGAATTGCAACACGACATCAAGAAACCAACAGCAATAACAACTTTAGAAGGACAGAAGGCCATTAGTGTGTCAGCTGGTGAATGTGTATCTCTAGTGGTTATGGAATCTGGTAGGGCTTAAATTCTTTTATTTTCATTGTATTTGTCATAACAATTTTTAATCATGTTAGATTGAACTGCTCTTACCAGCAAATTCTATTGTATTCACCTAGTTGTGCTTGCAGGGTTTGAGCTTTGCTCTTTCGGCCCGCCTCTCAACTGTCATATGATGTTACTAACTACTTACTATTTTTTTTTTTTCCCCGCACACACACACCTCCAGGAAGCAGCTATGTAACAGCTGTCTAACTCCCAGGTACCTATTTACTGCTAGGTAACAGGGGGCATTCAGAGTGAAAGAAACTTTGCCCATTTGTTTCTGCCTGGTCCAGCAATTGAACCCGGGTCACAGAATTATGGCCAGTTTTTTTACGAGTCCTGCGCGCTGTCTACTCAGCTACCAGACCCCTAACCAGACCCTCTAATTCCATTGTGTTAACTATCTTAAACTAGTATAGATGTGTCTCATTAAATTACAAGAATCGATTCTTCCTGTAATTAATCTTGGAAATCTTGTAACCATTAGATATTTAAACAAATTTGATTTAAAATGTTGTGATTTGACTTTAAACAGTGTCAAGACCACATTTTATTGTAAAATTGGAAGTCTGTTGTACAAGTATCATATATAACAATAATACTGTTGTTAATACAGTTATCATTAATACTTTGTTTCCCACGTTTATGGGATGCGGAGGTATCAGCCAAGAAGAAATACTGTAGTTAAGCAATATAGGAAAAAAAGATATAAAATACTCTACTGCTTGTGCCATGCTTCACAGTTCAAAATTGTATAAAATCTGCCCCATTACATCCCAGCAAAATTTCACCTGCTTCTTACAAATAGTTGTAAAGTTGAATGAAGTGGTGGGGTGCAAATGTGGCTGTACATATATGTTTTGCTGGAGTGTGATAGTGGAAAGTACTCAGGGCCCCGCCAAATAGGAACCTGATAGGAACAAATAGGAACACTTCAAGAGAAAACTGGACTGTTTTCTAAGAGAAGTGCCAGACCAACCGGGCTGTGGTGGGTATGTGGGCCTGCGGGCCGCTCCAAGCAACAGCCTGGTAGACCAAACTGTTGAACCCTCAAAGAGTTCACATCTTGTTTTATTAAATTAGTATAAATTCCATTTTAGAAAACGGAAATGTACGTAACTAAGGAACCTAACTTAGAATGTCCAAGTTGTAATAGGCCTAATATTTGTTATTTTAGACCTAATATAATACAGTACATATATGCTATACTAGGCCTAGGAATGTTTAAGTTTGGATTTTAGCATTTTGTACGGGAGGGGCTCTATATAAGTAATAGCACAAAACATGAGATTTTTGGGGGGAGGGGGGGTCAGCAGTACATATTAGTACTGTATGTTCAACACAATAGTTGCTATAAGTATTGTCATTTTAGGAGGATGGGTTGTCTAAATCTGTTCCTGGCACAGCTGCACACCTTTTCAAGAAATTGTCTTGCAAACCCACTCCTTTGCTGCTATTCTGTATGGGAACGTTGTCCAGAAATAAATTCAAATGCTTGTGGGACAGATAAAATTGTGATTTGATGATGATTGCAGGCCACTAGTGCACAATAAGCTCATTACTTAGTAAGCAATTAAAAATTATAATAATTTGTTCATAGGTCTTGGTTAACTCCAATACATCATATACATATATAAAAAAAAATTGCATCGTTTGTATAAACACTGGGTGATTTAATGGTTAATGGTATCACAGTTAATGGTATCACAATACAATGAAAATTCCACAGTGCAGAGCATTCTCAGTGTAACACAACATTGACTGGACAGTGTTGATCAGTTTTCTAGTAAGTCACTGTCTTTGGACACAATTGTAGCAAGGACATGACATATGCAACAGCAGGCGGCCACATGGCAATACCCAGCCTGTTAATACTGAGAACATTAGGTTGGATATTTGGAGTATGGATGACGCTCTCATGTTTACACACACAAATGTTCCAACCTCGGGGACCCACTTTTTTACTGTACTGGTAATTAACATTCATTAGAGAGGTTACAGTTCAATATACAGTTCCACTATACAGTGTTACTGTATAGTGGTTTAGATTTCCCATGCCATGTGTGGTGAACGGATATTAAAAAAAATTGGTTATACCTCTAATCTAGTGCCCATTTTCTAGTTACTGGTAATTATTTAAGCTTATTTTCTCATCTGATTTCATTTTGTGCCTCCCTGGCTGCAAAATATATGGTTTTTATCTTTTGAAGATCACTTTTATAAATTGAGATCATAATACTGTAACTACTTGTTTTGATAACAATTTAATTTATGATTATATTTTGCTTTCAGAATGTTGTACAGTATTTCATACTGAATCTGCTCTTTGCTGAACTGTTCATGGACTAATGTACTGTACGATATTAAACTTACAGGTGATGTCGACCAAACCACACACTAGAAAGTGAAGGGACGACGACGTTTCGACGTTTCACAATCGACTTATGAATGGTCCAGGACGGACCAAAATGCCGTCGTCCCTTCACTTTCTAGTGTGTGGTTTGGTCAACATATTTCAGCCACGTTATTGTGACTCCTTGTCTGCTTACAGGTGATGTGTATGGTTTTGGGATGGGCACGAACAACCAGCTGGCCCAGGGAGACGAGGATGACCAGTTGGTTCCTGTGAAGTTGACTGGTAAGCAACTGGTCGATCGAAGAGTTGTGGATGCTGTAGCTGGAGGACAACATACAATTATTCTTGCTGTTCCCAAATGATATTTGTAATTTTAGGGTGTACTATTTTTTGTTGTAATAATGTAATTTGCTCAGTGGCACAGCAAAAGAAGTGTCCACATGCTTGTTTTGATAACTTATTTGTACAAATTTGTGTGGCTGAATGCATGGGAAACCTGTGTGTGATTTACATTAAATCATTTACATTTTGAATCTGAATGTGTATTTGGTTAATAATGTCGTAAATGTACTGTTGATGACTAAGAACAGTATGCTACAAACTAGATCTATAAGTAGAATATTTAATAAAAAACAAAAAGCAGTTTTTATTGCTATTTATCTTTGGTAAAGATGTTTTGCTGTGTTTTCATCTCTCTTTGGTTTTTTGTTTTCTCTATTGGGGGGGGAGGGGGTTAACATTTTTAGTAAAATTTGGGATCTTGCCATATTTTTTCTTTGAATTTTGAAATACAATACAGTTAGCTTTAGAAGCTTAATCCTTGCTTGTTACATAGTTGAGACTAAGGTTTAAAGTATTTATTTTCATGCTTTTCTCATGAAAGAGTTTTGACGGATTCCAAAGAAAGTGTTTTAATTAATTTTAAAGACAGGCCACTTACATTTACTTTTATTCATAAGTTTTCAGAAATATTTTTTATGTTAAAAGAAACTTTTACTTGATGGTCCAGTAATATGTTAAGAAACAATTTAATTGTATTTTGGATGAGCAATTCGGTGACGTGAATTTCTTGGCTCCTGTGATTAAAATAAAGGTTTCGCAGATAAATTCATTAATTTTTGCCTTTTATACCGTACTTGTGTCTGGTTAGTCTGCAACTCATTGACAGACAAAAGGTGTAATCCGTTTTCATGCATCTGCTTTTAGGATCTTATCTAAAACTTTTGTGCATGTATCTGGAGGTTTGTCTGTCATATGATAGTGCTATGTAAGAATAAGATCTATTGATAAATGAAGGATGGAGCCTCACAAAAATACAAAATGTGAATTAAGTAATAGTTGAGAAAATGCAAACTGGTTTGTGAGTACAAGAAGAGAATTGATGTGTATGTTGGAATGTGTCCAAATGTTAGATGATATGAATATTGAAAACTGGTGATATAATGGCCTATGTAAGACATTCAATCTATCCAATCACATCTTCATATAGTTATTTATCCTGCACTTGAAACAATCGAGCAACATTACCTACATATATTGTCCAACATGTTCCATAAATATATAAATACATTTCCAAACCTCTAGTATTTCCAGGGTCTTTTCTGAATATAAACTTTAATTTGAAAATAATTGATCATGCAGTGCTGTAAAGCACCTGGAAGAGCTAGTACTGTACCAAAAAATCATTCCAAATGTCAGCTGGCTGGCTAGCTGAATATTTTTTTTTAAGACCCAGGTACCCAGATTAAGAACTAATTATATTCCAAGTACTGTATATTTACTTCCGGTGAGCAACCTAGACTGTTGAGTAAAAAAATGCTGAATTGTCTACCCCCCCTAGATCCTTGACCTGTTAATACCGATTAGTAGCTGTCAGCCTGACACACGCATACGAATCATAGTACATTAAACATAAATGCAGAGCAGCAACTGAACAGAATATACCAATATTACCAGTGATGCAACAGACAAGGCAAGGAGTCCAAAAAGTGGAGCAAAAATGCTTGGAAGAGCTAGAAAGGACCAGAAATAAGTAGAGATTTCTCAGTAACTCAGGGCAGCTGGAATATATGTATAAGTGACTGCACACGATAGTACATATGGCTCTAGGTCAGCTGTAGCTTTCACAACATAGTGCTGCCGCTAAGGAAGCTATCCGCACTTGTCCCATCTGTAAAGATATTCCTTATTCCGACTTTTACCCAGTTATTCAGTCCTCCATCAATGCGCGTTGGCAGGGTTGTTGGTTACACAAATTTCTGAAGGAGAAATTTGCGTAATTTCTATCCTATTTGAATATGGACCAGCTACATCGTATTGAAGGGTCGTAGTTTAGTTTTGAGAAATCTTGGTAGTTCTCAGTAAATTATAATAATTATTTTATGAGTTATTATTATCTAAATATTTAAATTGACGCCAAATTATAATATATACAATGCGATATGCTCTATACAAATTAAAAAAAATGATTGTATATTGTGTGTTATAGAAAACGTATATGGTAGAGGTCTACTACCAACTGTTGGATGATCCAACAGTTGGGGTATCCTCTGGATGGATATAGGGTTCACAACTAGTCACTCGATGTATATAGGGTCCACTACCACCCGTAGGATGGGTATGGGGTCCACTAACACCTGTAGGATGTTAATGGGGTCTACTACCAGCTGTTGGATGAGTATGGGTCCACAACCGCCCACAGGATGAGTATGGGGTCCACTACCGCCCACAGGATGAGTATGGGGTCCACTACCACCCACAGGATGAGTATGGGGTCCACTACCACCCACAGGATGAGTATGGGGTCCGCTACCACCCACAGGATGAGTATGGGGTCCACTACCGCACACCCAACATGTGAACTATAATGAACCCCATGCCCATCCTGTGGGCGGTAATGAACCCCATACCCACCCCCATACTCATCCAACAGTTGGTAGTAGACCCCATTAACATCCTTCAAGTGGTAGTGGACCCCATACCCATCCTACGGGTGGTAGTGGACCCCATACCCATCCTACGGGTGGTAGTGGACCCTATATACATCGAGTGACTAGTTGTGGACCATATATCCATCCTGAGGATATACTGGCTGTGTTGAATGTAGCAATGTTCAGTGTACAGGTTCCCAAGTAGGAAGACAAGAGAGGCATCAACATCAGAGGCTGGTGTCACGTGACAGACTTGACGTGGTGAGAGGTAATGTTATGTTATATCCCGTTGTTGTTGATGTTCTTTAGTATCACAGACGGTCTTCGTTGCCTTCCTTACTGTCTGAGGTGAAGGTTACGACAGTTAAAAGCGTATAAATCTCAAGGTAAACATACAGCTCTAACAGGCAGAACTGAAGAGGTTGGAGCTGTAAAGGGCGTGTAAGAAGGAGCTGCATGGGACCCGCCTGACATCAAATAAGACTCGTCTTGAGATTTATACTCAAGGTGCTCGAGGAGTAGCTTGGGGAGACGAAGACAGGAAGAGCGAGGAAGGTGATTGAAAGTATTGTTTTGAAGACGAGAGGAGCACCGAGGACCCACCCGACATCACGTGGTGATCGTTGAGGATGCCACTTGAGCACAATAATATTATGAACAATGTCATCCTGGACGTTAATAGTTATTATAAAGCATAAATGTCCACACTTCAATAAGTTAAAATCACTTAGTTTGTCATTAACGAGCAATATCTTAAGTCAGTTGAAAGCAAATATTTAACATCATCCAATGTTGTGTCAGGAACTTAGGGTTGTTGGGTTTGTTAGTTTGTTATTGCATATATTGTATATTGTAGTTGTAGAGCGGCCATTAACAGTTCTTGACTGACAGACGATTGGTACTTCACTAACGATTATATTGCAAATGTTGCTCTGTTGTACCTGTTGTTCTGTTGCAACATTTACAATAGATTGTTGTATTTGGTTTGTGAACTAGATTTTGAAATTAACAACTTCAAACATTCAAGCTGGGCATCATTATTGGTTTATTAGAGACTCGTTCGTATTTGGGGAAGTGCAGGGGTGGCTGTTGACCATTGTTAACTGACACTTCACACTCGCGTACAAGACTCGTGTGTACAAGAACACTACTGTAGTAACAAAAGAAACATCAAGCAACCCTATATTCCTCGGGCCCATGTATTTACACTGGGATGGTGAATACGAGACTTACTTATCATTTTTCTCCCACCTAAGAGGCAAACTCGATAACTGTATTAACAACTCGAATGTAATGATTGGTAGTGATCAGGAAATCGCGTTAAGAAAGGCACTTATGTGTTGTTTTCCGAAGGCAACATTGTTATTGTGTAGTAACCATCTGAAGGAAAATGTTCGCCACTATTTAACTGATAACATTGGTTGTACAAACACCGAGAGGATTTGTATCCAAAAGAAAATATTTGGTACAAATGGGTTAGTTAGAAGTGTTTGTGAGGATCAGTTTGAAAGGGGAATCAACAATCTCATATTTTACTTTTACAAATACCCAAAGTTCAAAGATTATTTTGATAGCCGTTTGAAATCTTCTCTATGGAATTATGTGTGTGTACCTCACGCAAAAGCCAAAATGGACACGTTATGGACTAGTAACAATTTTTTTTATTTTTTTTTTTATTTATTTATTTTTTTTTTTTGAGATATATACAAGAGTTGTTACATTCTTGTACAGCCACTAGTACGCGTAGCGTTTCGGGCAAGTCCTTAATCCTATGGTCCCTGGAATACGATCCCCGCCGCGAAGAATCGTTTTTTCATCCAAGTACACATTTTACTGTTGCGTTAGACAGAGGCTACAGTTAAGGAATTGCGCCCAGAATTGTGAGTCACTAAACTATATCCTTTAACTGACTATTGATTGGAAACCCCAAAAACTGCCAGAATTAATTTAAAAAATTTGCAATGTTTCAACGCTCCAAATGTATATATATATATATATATATATATATATATATATATATATATATATATATATATATATATATATATATATATATATATATATATATATATATATATATATATATATATATATATATATATATATATATATATATATATATATGTGTGTGTGTGTGTGTGTACATGTGTATACAACATTAATAATTTTGTAACTAGCGTCAAACACTGTTACTTGCTTAGCTAACCGAACTAGAGGGTTCAGTTCCTGAACCGATTATGTGCCTCTGTAATCCTTTACACCACCGCCCACGGGATGGGTATGGGGTGCATAATAAAGAAAGAAATAGAAGAAATTGAAATTGCATAATACGGTTATTGACATTCAATAATAGTAAGATAAGTTTTGATATTAAGTTTTTAAGTAAGATAAGTTAAGATAAGTTTTAAGTAAGACAGTTTTGATATTCCTAGAGTACGACTTAATCAAACCAGAAATGCTCTACAAATCAAGGGGCCCAGAATGTGGAATGACCTTCCCAACCATGTTAAAGACTGTACCTCTCTCAACCAGTTTAAGTTAAAAACGAAGCTATACCTAATAAATTCCCTGTAACCTACCTTACCCTTCTATTGTCAACCAATGTCTTTTTTTTTTTTTTTTTTTTTTTAAAGAGCGCTGTTTGTCGACATAATTGTATTTGTGCTGCTTTTTCATCTATGTTTTCATATCTTGTTTTCATTCTACTCATTATCCTCAATTAGTATTAAGCTTGTCATTTAAGTTTATCATGCCCGAAACGCTTTGCGTAATAGTGGCTTTAGGCATTGTATGTACTAGCTCTACCTATAAGTCAACCAATCTTTGTAAAAATTTATTGTATGTATGTACCTTACCTAAATAAACATTTTATTTTTTATTTTTTTTTATTTTATAAATCAATGAGGACCAAATGGGAGACCAGTGATCAGATGAATATTACAGACTCAAGAGTAGCCTTCTCTTCTTGTATATATAGCCTTCTCTTCTTGTATATAAATGAAAAAATAAATTCGTTTGTTTAATTCTAATGCTTGTAGGCGAGAACAGTTGTGAACGCCAGCTAGCGCACAAGTACATTAGCGCCCAAAATACTTTTACACAAAAGACATGTACAGACAGGCGTGTGGCTTCTGACTTCTTTTTTATTGATTAATATTAAATATTAGGCGCTTACCT